ATACAAACAATTGTACCATAAAATTGAATTTTCATATCACATTAATTTTATTGAATTAATTATTGTACTAATTTCTTACACTATTTTTATATTTATCATTGTAGTATCAAATCAATAGTATTTATTTTTTTATTATTTAAAGACACATAAATACAAAAAATTGTACCATAAAATTGAATTTTCACATCACAATAATTTTATTGAATTGGTTATTGTACTAGTTTCTAACAGATTTTGGACTATTTTTATTTGTAACATCAACTTACACTTATTACTATAACATGTACTACATTCTTAGAAAATTGACTATAAATAATCCATATTCTATTAGTTTTACAACATCCTCTATTTTAAAAATCACTTCTAAAAATCTATATTCCATCTAATCATCATTATTAAAAAAATGTCTAATTCATCTCAATCAAATACTAGGATTGATTCGGACGATGAGGTCAAAGGTACTTCTCATTGGTGGACAATACACCAAAATATTCAAACAATTGTGGGGAGATTTTTCACTAATGGTGCGGGAAGTTCTTCTCAAAATCAGAGAAGAATTTACATTGAGAGAAATCGTAAAGAAGATCACGATCGTTTATTTTACGATTACTTTGCCGAAAATCCTGTGTACACATATGATCAATTTCGTCGTAGATTTCGAATGAGAAAACATGTGTTTCTTCGTATTTTCAATCATCTTACAAATGAAGTGAAAGATTTTCAACAACGTCCGGATGCTACGGGAAAGTTTGGTCTATCACCAATACAAAAATGTACAGCAACCTTACGTATGTTGGCTTACGGCGTTGCTGCTGACAATGTAGATGACTATGTTCGTATTGGAGAAAACACTACAAGAAAGTGTTTACTTAAGTTTTTTTAAGGAGTTATTGTATTGTTTGGTGAAGAATATTTAAGAAAGCCAAACACTGTCGATCTACAACGATTTCTCCTTGTTGAGAAAAACGTGGTTTCCTAGGGATGATCGGTAGTATTGATTGCATGCATTGGGAATGAAAAAATTGTCCGGCTGCTTGGAAATGTCAGTTTTCACGTGGAGATCATAGCAAACCAACAATCTTTTAGAAGCGGTGGCATCGTATGATCTCTGGATTTGACATTCATTCTTTGGTACACCGGGTATATGCAATGATATTAATGTGCTTGATCGATCTCCAATATTTAACGATGTTTTGAATGGCAGAGCTCCGGAAATAAATTTTATTGTCAATGGTCACCATATAATATGGGATACTATCTTACGGATGATATTTATCCTCCATGGGCAACTTTTATCCAATCAATTCGTCTTCCACAAGGTTCTAAAGCAAAATTGTTTGCACAATATCAAGAAGCAGCTCGAAAATATGTGGAACATGCTTTTGGTGTATTACAGGCTCGATTTGCTATTATTCGTAACCCATCAGTTATTTGGGATATCAATTTAATTGGTAAGATCATAAGAGCATGTATCATCTCACATTCGTGGAAATGAAAAGAATACATACATACTTTATCATGATATATCTCAATTTGATCAAGAAGAAATGAATTGGTCATATTCAAGGGACAGACATGCTAGTATGACAGAGTATTTAGAAAATCAAATCAAAATTTGTGATCGTGAAACACATCATCAACTGAAATTAGATTTAGTTGAACACATATGGCAAAAGTTTGGTTCTCCAAATAATTAAATTATTCGATGTTATTTTAATTTAAATAATTGTATTGTTTTATTTGCAATTATTTTTTTTCTTCTTTGATATATAGATTATTATATTAAATATTTTTTTTATATTGAATTTTATTAAATATAAATCATTATAATTAAATAATAATATTAATATTGATCATAACAACAAGAAAATAATAATAATAATAACTATTGTAATAATAATAATAATAATAATACCTCCGTCCACCACCAATCTATCTATTTGCATTTGGCGTCATTGTTTTTAATATTAAAAATATCTTTATATTTGTATAATTTTTTGTACAAATTTTATTTCATTAGTATTATAAGATACCAATAGAAGTATTTTTGTCGTTTTTCTTTAATTTGTACTATGTTTTGATACAATAATTAATATTTAAATATTAACATGCAAAAATTAAATGGATAGATTGACAGTGAACGGAGATAATAATAAATATTTGTTATTGTTTATAAATTAAATTATTAAATAAATAAATACTAATAAATATGTATATTGAATAAAAGTTATTATTATTTAAATTTGTTGATGTATTTTTTCAATAAACAAAAAGTAAAATTCAAAGATATGGAAGATATCTTTAAACTTGATTAATTAGCGTATGAGATTAGGAATCTCTAAACACTGTACGGTACATAAAGAAATTAACTGGAAATTAAAATGCTAGAAATTTAAAGTGGTGATCCCTGAATCTGACTTGCTTTGTTGAAGTTGATTGAAGATCCCTTCTCCAGAAAAATCCAAATCCTTAAATACTCCCTGAGAAATTGTACTGGAAACCGTCGCCCGAACGGTTACAACGTCTCCTTTTCAACCGTCTGCCAACCCTTCTCCTGCTGACACGTGTCCTCAGCAGACCAAAATTATCACTCTATTTCACTCTTTGAGCCGACCACAGACCTCCCGCCCTTTTGGCCCGACTGCCAATCTACAACCGTATTGGTTCGACTGCCAATCCTCCCGACTTGCAAACCATCCGACTTGTTTGGTCCAGCCGCAAACCTCCCGACTAACAGACCATCCGACTTATTGGTCCAGCCGCAAACCTCCCGACTGACAAACCATCCGAGTTATTGATCCAGTCGCAGACCTCCCGACCTGAGGACCTCCCGACCTGTCCCGACCTGAGGACTTTCGGTCCTGAGGACTTTCCAACCTGCGGACTTCCCGACCTGAGGACATCCCGACCTGTCCCGTCCTGAGGGCTTTCCGTCCTGAGGACTTTCCGACCTGCGGACCTCCCGATCTGAGGACCTCCCGACCTGCGGACTTTCCGTCCTGATGACTTTCCGTCTTGAGGACCTCCCGACCTGCGGACCTCCCGACCTGAGGACCTCCCGACCTGAGGACTTTCCGTCCTGAGAACTTTTCGACCTGTGGACCTCCCGACCTGCATTTTCCTTAGAAATGAACCTATTTTCCCTGAGTTCCCCACGGTGCCCTTCAGCCAGTTCGATCGACTCTATTGCCAGGCCCATTATTTCTTTTACCTTGGGCTTTTTAACCTAATTCGAAATTTCATGCGTAACAAAATTATTTTAAAAATAAATAATTTAATAATATGAAGGAAAGAGAAATTAAAATTTGAGTAAGACCATCCGCATTATCACTATGTTTTTTTAAAATAAAAATAAAAACTGAGAGATTTGCCTCTCAGCATGCTGAGATGTTGAGAGATGTTATCTAATTGTCATGTGTCCCAATTTAATTGGGACACATAACACTTATGTATATATATATATGATATATATTATATATTTTGTTTTTGTAATTTATATTGAATTTATTGTTATATTTAAATTTTATAATATTTTTATAAATCATAGTAATATTTTGTATTTTACAAAATGATACCAATATTGAATATATTTTATCAATTTAAATTTTAAAATATATAAATATAAATATTATATAATTCTATTGAACAAATCAATATTAATAAATTTAATTTAATTTATTAAATAAAATATAATTATAATTTTTAAAGCAATTAAATGGAGTAATATAAAATTATACTCCATCCGTCCCATAACAAAGTATCTATTTTTTCATTTTAGTCTATCTCATAACAAAGTATCCATTTTCTTTTTTAATAACTGTACTATCTACCTAATATTACAAATACCCTTACAACTTACAATATATTACACAAATGTCATTACTTTTATATCACACATACCAACAAGGTTATTTTAGTCATTTCTACTTTATTCCTATTATATCCCAATATAATACTAATATTTCTAAAACTACGTGCAAAAAGCAAATGGATACTTCTTCTTGGGACAGAGGGAGTATTAAACAAGAAATATATTTGGTTTATAATTATATACATACATAATTAATAATAAGATATGGATATAAAATAAAAGACAAGATAATTTGAATAACATAGAACAAAATACATATAATTTAAACAATATTTTAAAGAATTCTTCGAACAATTTAGCCTTACAAGTATATCCTACTCTGTCAAATTATCTTTCTCCACTAGTGTTCGATAAAGTTTCATTTTGGCAATACGCTCATTGCTTTTGATTTTTTCTTCCTTCAGTTGTGTCGTACGAGCAAATTGTGATGCAACTTCTTTACTTTGCGCTCATAGTTCTTCAAAATCATTGGAGGAAAGTGAATTTGAATATTTGTTCAGTGCTCGTTTACCTTTATTTTTACATGCTTTCATACCCGGAGGACGAATTGAGGGAAATTCTTCTACTGCATCACTACGTGGTGTTGTTGGATTTGAATTAGATGAGTATCCACCATCTTCATTAATTTTAGTTTTCTTCGGGTCAACTCCACTCTCATAAGATGCTTCATTGACAATATTTGTACTACGATGACTGGTATTCCATTTTGGCTCAAGTTTTAATTCACGTTAACGCTAAGCGTGTTTATAAATCAATGTTTTCTTACAATCTGCTGAACATATTTGATGTGTCTTATTTAAGACATTATTAATAGATTCTCTGCTTTTTTTTTTTTTTTTTTTGTTAGCTTGTTGAAAGGGATTATTTTTTGCCAACCATTTTTGCATTAATTTATACTTTTTGATATCTTTGCTTCAAATTTGTTATCATTAAAATATTAAAAAAAAAATTTCCAAAAAATAATATCTTTTTTTATCAGAATGAGTATTTTTATTTCGAATATAAAATAAAAAACAATATCTCCTTGCTGTGGCAGAGAAAAAAAATGGTGTGAATAATAAAAAATAGTGAAAATACAAAAGAGAAATAGATTATCTTCATTGCCTATGGTCATAGACGCTAGCCGGTGTGTATTATTTAACCTCCACCACTCAACGCCTTCCTCCTTCCTCTTTCTTCATTCGTTGTCTCTCTCTCCTCTTCTTCGTCGTTCTTCTTCCTTTTCTCCCTGCGTTTCTGACGCTGCCGCCGCCGGTCGTGAAGCAATATTTCTGGTTTCTTTTACTTTTCTCTTCCATTCTCCTTTCCCTTCTTCTTTCTTTCTCTGCTGCTTCCACCGGTGATCCCTTTCGCCGTCGTTTCACTCCTCTTTGGCCGGCCGTGACGTTGGTTTCACCATCACTTATTCACCCTCGACAGCCTATTTCTTCTCCGGCTGTCAATTTCTAGCAGTTAAAGAAAAGAAAAAGTAAAAACGCTTTACTTGAAGGAACAAACAGAGCCTATTTGACTCTGTATTTTACAGTTTCCGAACGACGACGACGCTGATTATACAACCTACTATTCTCGTCGGAAAGCTACGCAATGGAGGTCGTACCGCCGCTGGCCTCTACTCCTCTTGCCTTGAATTCACTACAAATGAAGAATCTGTATAGATTTCCTGTGGAGTATCGAAATCCAGAAGAAACTATTTGCCGTATGGTATTATTATCCCTCTTTCAACTGTCGTTTCTTCCAAAATTTTGAGGTGATTTTGATTGCGAAGAAAAGTAAACAAAATTGCCTTGAGTTCTGTGTCTTAGATATAGTTTATATGAATTGTTTTGTCTGTCAGAAGTTTGATATCTGCAAGAAAGTGGTGATGCTGAGCAGGTTTTCTAGTGAAATTTCACTTTAGGAATTCCATTTGATTTTTCTCTAATTCGAGTTGGAAATAAAGTATTTACTTGAACTTTGAAATCAATGAATCAGTGTTTTGCAGTGAGAGTTGATGTTGTCCATTAGGCAGTGATTAATATTGATAATACATATTGCCATTATCATGCCATATAGAAGTTCACTGAGTCATCAAAGATTTGATGTAAATGAACTAAAACTGATATTGCTACTTTTTACTTTGGATAATACAATCGAACCGATCCTAGTAGATTTTGAGTCGACTAGTGGAAGGTTGATAAGAAGAGTTACTTTTCTTAATCAGTACTTGAAAATCCACACCAACTATTTCCATCTTGGTATGGCTAAATTTGACTGAATTGAAGGGATCAAATAATAGATATTGGCTGAATCGAGGGCATGCGGTAATCCTTCTATGAATCGATAATAGTCATAAGCATGGTAAACTTACCCTTCATGTATCCAATGGGTTCTATGGGTATTTTCATGCTGTGTTTTATTGTTAGTGTATATGCTAGCGTTTGATAGACAAATAGTATGCTAAGAACAGAACATTGTTTGCAGGACAACCAGAAGAATTGTGTGAAGAAGTTCGTCCCCTTCAGTTCCAATTTATCAATACATCACTCAAGTAGGGAAAGATTACCTTTGGTTAGTCAAGAAAATGTTCATGAGAATAAACCAGAAGGATTCTTGCCTTGGAGTGCTACCTTATCTGTTTTGCTCATGCATTATGCCCGTAATGGTTTTCTTTTCAAAGCCTTGGAAATTTGGGATGAAATGATGAACAGTTCATTTGTTCCTGACATTGAAGTAGTTTCTGAATTGATCGTTATATGTGGTAACACGGAAGATTCTGATACAGTTACAAGAATTCTGCACCAAATGCAGCTGAAGGATTCTAAGATGTTACCGGCTATTTGTTATCGAGCTATCTCTGAATATGGTAGAAGGGGACAACTTAATTGCATGGAGAATATGCTTAAACAGATGGTTTCAATGGGGTATAAAGTCGATTCCGCAACTGGAAATGCTTACGTGTCGTATTACAGTGCTTTTGGTTCAGTAGCTGACATGGAAGCTGCATATGGTCGGCTCAAGAGGTCAAGGATACTCATTGAAGAAGAGGCCATTCGATCCATGTCATTCGCTTATATCAAGGAGAAAAAATTTTATGCATTAGGTTGTTTCTTGCGCGATGTTGGTCTCGGTAGGAGAAATGTTGGCAATCTTCTTTGGAATCTTTTGCTGCTATCATATGCCGCGAATTTCAAAATGAAAAGCCTACAGCGGGAATTTGTGAGAATGGTGGAAGCAGGTTTTTATCCCGATCTAAATACATTTAACATTAGATTACTTGCCTTCTCTAGAATGTCTATGCTATGGGATCTGCATTTGAGCCTCGAACATATGAAACACGACGCAGTGGTTCCTGATCTCGTGACGTATGGTTGTGTTGTTGATGCCTATGTGGATAGGCGGCTTGGGAAGAATCTGAAATTTGGTTTGAGCAAATTCAACTGGGATGAGTTTGTTTCAGTATCGACTGATCCGCTTGTTTTCGAGGCTATGGGCAAAGGCGACTTCCATTTGAGCTCAGAAGGAGTTCTTGAGTATAGAAAGCAAAAAGATTGGACCTACAGAATGCTGGCCTCTGTTTATCTTAAGAAGTTACAAAGAGGAGATCAAATCTTTTGGAACTACTAATATAGTAATGAAGAGACAACACATTGAAGGTTCATTTCTGCGTTCTTCTGATTGATGTCTTGCCAAGATTTCCTGAATGGAACAAGGTATTTTGAAGGCAAAGAAGGAAGTAGGAAATGCATTTGGTTGAGAACAGAGAATCTGCTCCTGCTCTAGTTCTATATCGAAAAGGTTGATGATATATTATGTGGAGAAACATCAACATACACTGAGGATCGTTGTTGCCGCCCCACGAGTACGTGTGACCTGTTCTTTGCGACAGCTGCCTCGCCTATTGAATCACTGCCAAGAGCAAACCCTAAGACCATGTGCAATGCAGAAATACTAAGAGCAGCCGTTATTATATTTTTTTCCACTGCCACATCAGCTTAAAAATTACTCCCTTCGTCCCATGTATTATGGGCGTATTATTATAGATACGGGAAATAATTATTGTATAATAAAAATAAGATTAAGATAACTAAATAGTTTAATTAAGATTAAAAAAAATTATAAAAATTGAAATTTAAAATAAAATTAAAGAGTATAATTATATTTTCAAAAAAGATTGACAAATTATGTAAAACTTAAATTAGAAAATAGAGACAAATTATATGGACCGATGGAGAGAGTAATTAAGAATCCATCTTGTTTTTTTTTGACATTGTACAAAGGTTATTGAAATTTCTTTATATTCCAGGTCAATAAATTTATTATTTTAATGATAAAATGTATATAATATATATTTTTAAAATATATTTTCTATATATTATACTACTTTGTTTTAATAAAAAATTAATATAAATTATTTGATATTTAAGTAAATAATTTATTAAATAAAAATTATATATTAATTTATGCATGTATTTTTTATTAAATTCAATTATTTTATTGAAATCATACTATTCAGTATAATATACATTTAAAATTAAAAAAAAAACAAAAAATTAAATATATACATAGAGGAGGAGAGCGAAGATCAACAACGGTTCTCTTCCACAGCCATATTATTATTATTATTATTTTTTTTTTTTTTTTTGTATGATTTGGCAAAATGGTCATAATTCTTAGATGTAGAACGCTGTGCTCTGTGAGTGCTCTAAGACGAAGAACCCCTTCAGCTTGACCTATCAACTGCTGCCGATTGATTTGATTTCGTAAGCTGCGTCGATCGATTTCTATGCGTTTAAGTTGCGGTTCTTCTTTCAATATGATTTCAATTCTGCGCAGAAACATTACCTGCTGCTGCTTGTCCGCGGATTACGCTGCTCCCCACGGTATTTCTCGCTCCTTTTGTCTCCGCATCTTCTCTACTTCGAATGAAAGAGACGTAATTACTTCTGCTGCAATTTATGATTTACTACGGAACAAACACCAATTTTCGGCCAAAGTGGCTGCTAAAGCCGCCTCTGTTTTGGATCGGGTGAAAGTGAAACACCCGGAGAATTGCGAAGCGACACTCTCATTTCTTCGAGAGAGTGGCTTTTCAAATACTCAATTGGAAAAAATGGTAAATTCCGTGCCTACAGTGCTCTTTGGTAGCCTTGAGGGTTCCATTAAACCCAAAATTAAGGTTTTCCAGAATATAGGGTTTCGTTCTGAGGATATTCCCATAATAATCTCATCCAATCCTATCCTTTTGCGGTTAAATTTGAGCAATAGAGTAATTCCTTTATTATCTATGGCAAAAGGGTTATTGGGAAACGATGAAGCCTTTTCTCGATTCTGTAGGAGAAGTGGATGGGCTTTATCCAGAGATTTGGAGAAAACTATACTTCCGAATATCGAATTATTGAAGAGCTATGGTGTGCCTATGGAACGCATCATTAAATTTATGTGTACTTTTCCAAGGACTTTGATGTATAACCCAGAAAATTTTATGAAGTCTGTGGAAAAGGCTGAGGAAATGGGGGCTGATAGAAAGTCCCATATGTTTATTTACTCAGTTCGAGCTGTAAGCCAAATGTCTTGCAAGACTTTGGAGCTAAAACTGCAGGCTTTACGGCAATTTGGATTTTCGGAGAGTGACATACGTGCAACATTTCAGAAGTCACCATATGTGTTCTCTTCCTCAGTGGATAGATTAAAGAAAACAAAAGATTTTCTTCTTGCTACTGGAAAGTATGATATGTCTTCCATTGTGAAGAATCCTATGGCTCTGTTGTTCAGCATTGAACGGAGGTATAATCCGCGGTGTAAGACTTTACAACTTTTGGAAAGTAGGAATCTTATTGAAAAATGGCCTTCTCTCAGCGGACTTTTCCTGATGTCGGATAAAGCATTTTTTGATAAATTCGTCGGCCCTTATTTAAGCGAACTCAACAATGTGTATCCTACAGAGAGTTCTATGGGCGGTATTTACGAAAAAACTAAAGTTACTTAGAGCAATTGGTTCAAGAATGGAGATCTTTGTAGTCAATGGGTTACGAGTGATCAGGGGCTATTGTGATGACTGTTCTGGTACGTATTGTTAGATAAGTCTCTAATTTGTAACCTGGTGTATATTCTACACTTCAGACCATTCTTTCATTGTTAGGCATTGCTTTTAGCATCGGCTTTGTCCTGTCGCTTTAGGCTGCTCTGTTTACTTGTTGATTTTTTTTTTTTTTTTTTTTGCCCCAGATTTTTACTATGCTATCTTACTGTTCCTATTTAAAATATATTATTTGATTTCATAAAATATCCCATTCAGTCCTCTATTTCAATAAAAAAAACTAAACAAATCCTTAATTCTTTATATGATTGTTGAATACTCTGCAATTTGTTTGTTCCAACCTGTGATTGCCAACTCATAGTTCATCCTTATTCATTTTCGGATTTATGTTATCCTCCATCAAGTCTTGGGTTTCTTACTACGATAGAAATATAAAATATTGTCATTTCACTCCACAATACTTTGAATCCTGTGCCCTTTCGATATTTGATGTGTTCCTGAAACTTAGAAATTTTCTATAGACCTTACTCTCATAAATGTGCATGAAACCTCTACAATAACACGTGCGAAATGACTGATTGGATAGCCACCGTGGTTGGAGTTGTTGCTTTTTTAAACTATCTTGCTAGGCTGGGAAGATTCATGTACATGAAATAGTCAAAATAGTAGAGTGGCATTTAAACTCAACTCCTATTGGTACTTCTCTACTCTGTAATTAGACCCTAATTTGTTTCGTTTTATTTCTTTCCTCGTGACGTTCATGAATAAACCTAAAAACTACTGCCAATGGATATGCTGGGGAGAGATTCCATTGTTGTGTAATGTTGGGATGTTGATCAAGAATGATTTATTTTTTAAAGAGCCACCATATGTTGTATATGAATTGCTTGATTAGCTTAGTTGTACTCTATCTTCCTGTAACTTGGAATAATCCTCAAAATATTCCATCATACTTCCAATATTAATATAGGAAGAGAGTGCACAAGCACAACTTCACAATGCCACCTTATAGCAATTGGCAGCAGATTTTTCTATCATTCTTACAATATAATTTGACATGGAGCAGTAGTAGAAGGCTTGATCCGACAATAGCGCAGTTCATTTGAAAGTTCATGGTATTTTATTTTTCAATAGTTAGTCTGAATTCATGACTACTATGTTTGTCAACACAGTTTGATAATAATTGTTTTACGGTAATTAATTTTTGTTGAAGTAACGATTCTTCTTCTTATTCATTAAAGACATATGGGATGATGTAATATGGGGAACAATACTATTATTCTTCTTCACAAGCAGCTCCAAATCATATGGGATGATGTAGAAGGCAGGTGAGGTGAAGTTGGTGCAATGCAGCTCAGATCAGATTGCATACATATTCACTAAATCCTTCAGTGTTGGTCGGTTTGAAGTTCTTAAGAACAAATTAGGTGTTTGAAGTTTCATTCAGGAGGAATATGTTAGTGAGTCAATGTTGCATATTTAATTCTCTTTAATTGTTCGAATAAGTATTAGTTTGGTCATTATTTAGGAGTTTGGTAATTGATGTTAGTAGATGTTAAGGTGTGTTTGTTTGAAGGATTTTGGAGGATTTCCACTATTCATCCAATTTTTTCCCCCCAAAAACATCAAATCAAACACCTATTTTTCATTTTTTATATTATACTAAAAATCAATTTTATATTCAAAACATCACATCAAACTCTATTTATATCACATCATACAACTATTCAAATTCAAAATTTTTACTATTCAAATCCCAATCCAAAATCCAAACCCCCAAAAATGGAAATCTCCCATATTCACTTTTGGCATATGAACAAACCATCTTTTGCAGAACCACTGCCTTCAGACCATAAAAATAGTAAGTTATTGTGTAACACCTGTGTCTTTGTTGTGTATTGTCCATTTTGTTTCATCTCTTCAAATACTCATACAAGACAAATTGGTAGAATGAGAATAGTAAATGGAATGTCAGATTCATATGGAAAGACCGTGACATTTCATTTATGTGTTAAGGGAATTAATTGATCCTTAACAGGGGTCTTGGCCAATTTATTTGATACTGGAATTCATTTGAAGGCGTCTCTCTAGGCTTTTTGCATTGTTTTTCATGTCCTTCAAAATGTTCTTCATCGAAAAGTTACCAATTTTGTTGTATGTCTAAGCTAGAGGAAATATCAAAGCTCCAAAATCCGTCAAAGAATCCGTCAAAACCAAGGAAAAGCCTCCAAAACTCATCCTAAAATTTCAAGATGTTCGTTGCATTTTTCACGAAAAATCATCAAATCTGGTCCACTTCGATTTAAAAGTCAAAAGGACATGCCATAAAAAACTGTTGGAGTGCTAAATTCACCTTCTTAAAAATCAAAGTCCCAAATCCACCAAAATGAGTCTTTAAAGCCAAGTCGAATATCAAAATTGGTCGCACGAAGACGAAAGCCCTCTAAAAGTTGACAAAGTCAAACCGAAGACCAAATCTCTTCTGATAAAAAAAAACCATTCAAATCTAAGTTGAAAAATAAATCGACACAGAAAAAGAATCAGATGACTCATTTAGCGAATAGGATACGCATTGCTTTAAATTAAATATAATTTATACAAATATTTTTGTTTACAAAATTAACACAATTTTCCGTCTACATATTTTAGGACACGTGCAGTGGAACCTCTCTACCTTTCATCTCTCTTGTCGTTGAACTTTTAACAACCAATGGCTTCATACAAGATCAAAACTACCAATGATGCGTTGAAATTTGTTGTTTAAGCTGCAGCTACCAAAGGAGTCGTTGCATCTATTATATCAAGAACTTCAAGCACTTCAACGAATGCGTTGAAAGTTGTTGTTTAAGCTGCAGCTACCAAATGAGTCGTTGCATCTATTACATCAAGAACTTTAAGCACTTCAACGAATGTTGGAGTAATGATATGAAACATGATCAAAAAAGCATTGCTGTTCTCTAATGATACTCTTTAAAAAATCACAAAGCAAAACTCACTGAAAGCTTCGAGAGTACCGCTGCACCGTTCACTCCTCAACAAATTGCAAGTTATTCAGTCGTATCAAGCCATGTTCCAGTAATATTACCAATGCTTCAAATATAAAAAAACCTAAAGATCACGGATCAAAGCCCTGCTCTTGATTTTCTAATCCATTTAGGTAGTCTATGCATCCCCGAAACAATATTGGTGTGACTTCTACAGTCATGGATAATTCAAAATGTCAAATAAGTCTACCAGAATTTTATAATTGTTGTGCTCTTTAACCTTCGTAAATTCAATCATACAACTCTATAGGCTTAGGAACACATATTCAATGTCTTGGAAGATAAACTATCAAATTATAGTCGTACGGCATAAACCAATTGATCTATTGTATAACATTATTTTTCTATCTGAATTCTTTGGATAGCTTGAAATCAACCCAAATTATTGAGATATGGGGAATTCAAGGGTTGGTTATTTAAATGGATGTCAAACCCATCGCTCCCTGAAATCAATATTTTTATTGTGAACATGAGATTTAGCATTGTCATGTTGAATATAGTTTATACGACTAGAACATGCTGACCAACTTGAATATTCTGAAAGTACTAAATTTTATCATGTTATTTTTAATTTCAAAAAGATAATTATAAAATTATGTGAATCAATGTGTTACTTACTATACAACTTTTAATAATATCTTTTGTAATTGAGTCAATTGTTTTTATCTCCAAAGTACTAGCAAGTTTGTTTTTGTTCATTCTTTTAGCCGGTTATATCATCAGCCTTAAAGATAGGACAACTAACAATCCACGTAAACATAAGTTTTCAATAAATTTTTTATTTTGACAATTTCTATGTGATTCACCTCACAGTGGCCGAGGGAGAGGGGCTAAAAGGTGGCCTCCAATTAATTTAAATTTTTTATAATATATGTATAATTTTTAAATTTTGAATAATGACCCCTTATTAATTTAAATAAAAAAAATATTATAAATTTATTTAAAAATTATTGTTTAACTTTGATCAAAATATTTAAAATATATATTTTTCTAAAAAAATTATATAAAAATTATTTTAATCATACTTCAAATTAAAAAAAAAAAAAAATCTCAAATAAAAATCAAACAAACATTCCTTATTTTATTATAATAATAATAATTATTATTATTATTACTATTATTATATTATTTCTTTCATAAAATATAATAATATATTATATAATATTTTTTTTATTAAAAACGTTTTAAAGAAATAAGCAACCAAATTCATTCATAAAATATAATAATATAATAATTTTTATTAAAAACATTTTAAAGAAATAAACAACTCAGCCGTGAGTTGTTTATGGTATAATAAAATTATTTAAATAATCAAAACTCAAACCCAATAATAAAAAGCAACACACCCTAACTCATTTAAGATGTTAAATATGCGATTTTGCAAATGATTCTGCATCTGTTTCGATGAAATACTACAAAAGATGAACGATTGCTAACCCTATTTAGGGGTTCGAGGGTGCGCCTGCCCGTTGAATCACTGCCAAGACGAAGAGCCCCGGCTGCTTGGAGCTATCGATTCTGCTGCTGCCGATTGATTTGATTTCGTAAGCTGCGTCGATCGATTTCTATGCGTTTAAGTTGCGGTTCTTCTTTCAATATGATTTCAATTCTGCGCAGAAACATTACCTGCTGCTGCTTGTCCGCGGATTACGCTGCTCCCCACGGTATTTATCGCTCCTTTTGTCTCCGCATCTTCTCTACTTCGAATGAAAGAGACGTAATTACTTCTGCTGCAATTTATGATTTATTACGGAACAAACACCAATTTTCGGCCAAAGTGGCTGCTAAAGCTGCTTCTGTTTTGGATCGGGTGAAAGTGAAACACCCGGAGAATTGCGAAGCGATACTCTCATTTCTTCGAGAGTGTGGCTTTTCAAATACTCAATTAGAAAAAATGGTAAATTCCACACCTACAGTGCTCTTTGGTAGCCTTGAGGGTTCCATTAAACCCAAAATTAAGGTTTTCCAGAATATAGGGTTTCGTTCTGAGGATGTTGCCAGAATAATCTCTACCAGTCCTATCCTTTTGCAGTTAAATTTGAGCAGTAGAGTAATTCCTTTATTATCTATGGCAAAGGGGTTATTGGGAAATGACGAAGCCTTTGCTCGATTTGGTCGGAGAATTGGATGGTCTTTAGCCAAAGATATGGAGAAAACTATACTTCCGAATATCGAATTATTGAAGAGCTATGGTGTGCCTATGGAACGCATCATTAAATTCATATATACTTTTCCAAGGTCTTTGATGGTTAAGCCAGAAAACTTTATGAAGTTTGTGGAAAAGGCTGAGGAAATGGGGGCTGATAGAAAGTCCCAAATGTTTATTTACTCGGTTCGATCTGTAAGCCAAATGTCCTGCAAGACTTTGGAGCTGAAACTTCAGACTTTACGGCAATTTGGATTTTCGGAGAGTGACATACGTGCAACATTTCAGAAGTCACCATATGTGTTTTCTTCCTCTGTGGATAGATTAAAGAGAACAAAAGATTTTCTTCTTGCTACCGGGAAGTATGATATGTCTTGCATTGCGAAGAATCATACGGCTCTGTTGTACAGCATTGAACAGAGGTATATGCCGCGGTGTAAGACTTTACAAGTTTTGGAAAGTAGGAACCTTCTTGAAAAATGGCCTTCTCTCAACATGCTTTCCCGGATGTCGGATGACAAGTTTTTTCTGAAATTTGTGTATCCTTATTTAAGCGAACTCAACAATTTGTATCCTACAGTGAGTTCTATGGGAGGTGTCAACGAAGACACTAAAGTTAGTTAGAGCATTGGTTCAAGAATTGGAGATCGTTGTAGTCAATAGCTTACGAGTGATCGGGGGCTATTGTGATGGCTGTTATGGTACGTATTGAAGGTAAATTAATGCTAATGGATATGTAGTTTTATTGTGTGCCATATCTATTGGTGTTTGAGATGTCTCTAATTTGATCACCTGATTTATGTAGATTCTTACACTTCAAAGCAGTTTTTCATAGTTAGAGATTGCTTTTAGCATCGACTTTTTCTTGTTACCTTAGGCTCTGTTTACTTGATGATTAATTTTCAGTTTCTTTACAATTTACTATCTTATTATTCCTTTTAAAATTATATATTTCGCAAAACATCACATTCAGCCCACTATTCTATTATAACAAAAAGAAATTTTTAAAAAAAAAAAGAAAAGATCAAGACCTCCTTGCGATCGTATTTCTTAATTTGTGGCAATCGGGGATCAGATCTTGTGTTTCTTACTATGATAGCAATATTGCCATTTCACACCACATAACTTTGAATCTTGTGGCTTTCGATATTTGATGTATTTATATAACTTAGGACTTTGCTATAGACCTTTCTCTCATAAATGTGCACGAAACTTTCAAACACGCAAAAGTGCGAAATGACTGATCGGATAGCCACGGTCTTGGGAGTTGTCGCTTTTAGGCTGGGAAGATTCATGAGTAGCAGCAGCATCTCATGTACATGAAATAGTCAAAATAGTAGAGTGCCATTTAAGTGAACTGAACTCCTATTGTTACTTCTCTACTCTGTAATTAGACCCTTTGTTTTGTTTTGTTTTGTTCTTTTCCTTCATGGTGATGTTCATGTCGCTAATGGATATGCTGGGGAGAGATTCCATAGTTGTAAGCATAATGTTGGGATGTTGATCGAGAATGATTTTTTCATAAAGAAACAAGGGGGTGTTTGGTAAAGGGAAATAAAGACCGAGAAATGGATTTATCTTGTTTGGTTGGGATTGAGAATTCAGGATTGAGAAATAAATTATTTTCTCTTCTCTAGTTTTATTTCTCACGTGAATGCATAGAATCGAAGAGAAATGATGCATAGATATAGAGAAAAATGAGACAAAAATAGTGCAGTGTATTTATATATTTATTTATTTTGTTCTTTTATACTCCCTTGTCCCAGTATTCATTTTCTTTCCATTTTTTTTTAAGTAACTGTACTGTCTACTTAACATTACAAATACCTTTACAACTTATAATATATTACACAAATCTCATTACTTATCATACATACTAATTAAAGTTATTTTAGTTATTTTTATTTTATTTTTACTATATCTCAATATAATATTAATACTTTTAAAACTACGCTCAAGGAATGGAAGTAGCAAATTGATATTTTTTATGGGACGGAGGGAACTTAATTTTTACGATTTAATTTCTGTTTATTTTTTATTTTCCTTATTATTATTTAATTTTTATATTATTTAAATCTCATAAAATATTATATCAAAATTATTATTAAAATAAACTATCAAACTAAAAATTTATTATATTTTAATGATATATTTTTTTCAACTAGCAATATGCCTTTTTTTTTTTTTTTTCAATTGAATTCTCCACTGTACCGCACAAAAGAATCAATTCTAATTTATTTTCTATAGCAATTTTATTTTCCATTCCAATCGCACCCAAGTGTTGTGAATGATTAGCTAAGTGGTACTCGATCTTCCTGTAACTTGGAATAATCCTCCCTAAAATATTGTATCCTACTTCCAAACTGTGTACTTCCTCCTGACCTACAAAATCGCAAGTTAAAACACCCAAGCCACGCACGGGATCCTTTGTCCCATTGTGGCCGTTGTTATCTGTCCCACCCATTGGCACCCTAGGTTGTTATGGCAAGATTTATTAAATTTAAATTAGCCGAAACTTTTATTAGATTTAAGGTGATTTATTTTCAATTAGCCGAAACTATTATTAAATTTAATATATTTAAAGAAATTTTGGTAAATAATAAAAAACAAAAAAAAAAAAACATTAACGTGAAAACACGTCAAAAATATCAACGGTAGTTCCTTTTTATAAATAAAAATAAATATTGGGTCAAAACCCTAGACGGACGGATCGAGCAGAATTATCCACTCCGCCCGCTACCCAGATTCGCTGCCGGCGGTGCCTCGATTCCTCACTTCAATTGCCAATTGCCTGCCTTATTCTGTGTCCGTTGTTCTGCTGATTTGATTTTTGGGAACTTTGGTGGGTGGCTGGGTGGGATGGAGCTGAATTCTGCCGGCGGCGGAGGGGGAAACGATGTAGAGTTGCTTAGCAAAACACTGCAGGTGGAGCACAAGCTGTTTTACTTTGACCTCAAGGAGAATCCGCGGGGGCGCTACCTCAAAATCTCTGAGAAGACTTCCGCCACCAGATCCACCATCATAGTTCCCTCCAATGGCGTCGCCTGGTTCCTCGATCTCTTTAATTACTACTTGAACTCCGACGACCAGGACGCCTTAAGCAAAGAGCTCCAGCTCGATTCCAAGGTATTCTATTTCGATGTTGGGGATAACAGAAGAGGTCGCTTTCTCAAAATATCTGAAGCTTCTGTGAGTCGAAACCGCAGCACTATTATCGTTCCTGCCGGCGCCGGCCGAGACGAAGGCTGGGCTGCCTTTAGAACTATTTTGGCTGAAATCAGTGAAGCAGCGAGGCTTTCCGATCTGCCGAATCAGCTGGAATCTGAACTTGCGGGGCTATCGGACGATGTAGGGGCTGGTTTTATCTCCAGCCGTAGCTCTCAAGCTGCTGCTGCTCCATCCATGGAGTTGAATGTTGATCGCTCTTCTGATCTGCCGCCACTCGATGACTCGACCGATTTGGGGGTCTCCAAAGTGATTCGAGCTGATCAGAAGAGGTTTTTCTTTGATCTCGGTAGTAATAACAGAGGCCATTTCTTGAGGATATCGGAGGTCACTGGTTCAGACCGCTCCTCCATCATTCTCCCGCTGTCTGGCTTAAAGCAGTTCTACGAAATGGTCGGCCATTTTGTTGAGGTTACAAAAGATCGAATTGAGGGGATGACTGGTGCAAATGTTCGAACAGTGGACCCTCCTCCAAGGTGAACTATGTCGTTAGGCAGTTTTTTTGGCACAATTGCGATCTGTGGCACCAAGGATTGTGGTCGGCTGCTTGAAAGTTGTTGGGCTGTGTTACATTTCGAAGAATGTGTTTGTTTCTTCAATCGGACACCATTTCTGAAAGCTTATCTGCTCCTTTATATATAGGATTGATATATATATAGGCATATATAAATGAATAAGTAGGCTCTGCGCCGAAAGAAGGTATATTCTCATGCATATCTCCTATTTTCTGATAGAATGCTAGTGTATTAATTTATTATCTTCTGTATTATCAACTACAAAAGGATATGAGCGTTGCGCTCTGCTTTTATATTCTTTTGAGCATGTATACGTGATTCGGCATACACCTTCTGGTCAGATTTAAAGTGGTATTGTGACACCATTTTTACTTATCTTATTTCTATTTAATTTGTCGGTATTATATTGTTGAATTACTAGCATTCAGCTTTGTTCTTCTGGTGAATTGACTGAATAATTACTTCCCATGAGGAAGATTGAAAAAATGCGGGAGAGGTAGATCAGTGATGACTACTTGATTATGGAGAAATGAAAATATTATCTTTGGTCCCGCTGAATCCTTGATAAAAACTCATTGGAAGTTCTACCTTTGGAAGAACCTATATATTTCTCAGCAACAGATTCATGGTGTTCGGAATATCAAATTAGTGGTGGCGAAATTGCTGAATATAATTTCTGAAAGGGTGCTTTCTGATGTGACTATTTCGAATTTCAGGTAAATTCTCATATTTCCTATAGTTCTTTATAATTTTATCATGATATGATGTGATTGATATGAAGCATTGATGTGTATTGCTTTTTGGGAACATTTCATTTTGTTATGCTATTGCCATGATGCGAATTTTGAGAATATCATAGTATCTTATGTTGATACGAAACCGAAATGGTAAATTTCTTAGTGTCTTGATGTGCATTAGAAGATTGATGTAAGGTTTGTGACAAAAATGAATGAAGAATAAATTGATGCTGTAATATGTAAGGGTTCTTAATAAGACTTCTGGAATATTCTATTTCCGGAAGTGGTAGAAAAGCTTTGATATTTGGCCTTTGCATAATGAAGATGGAATTGCCTCTGGTGCTCTTTTTGTTACGGCTGGTATATTTGTTCTACTTAAATTAGAGATGCAGCTGACCTTTCGTTTGGCTATTGATTCGAATTGGTTTCCCCAATTATGTTGAATTTGTAGTCTGCATAATTAATTTTGTTATAGTCTCTTTCATGAGCATAATATCGGGTCTTTTTCAGAAAACGGGGCTAATCTGATGGCTTGGAGAACAATTTTGTTTGGTTATAAGTACACATAACTCAATTACATGTTCTCGTGTTATTCAGGATGTTAAAATGAATTTGCACTTATGCCTAATGTTAGTGGCAAGTAAAGAGTGATGTTTGTACTTTGTAGTAACTAAATGGCAATGTTACACTCAGTTGGCCTTGCAGCAGAAAGGCGTGTAACTTCATACACGTAAGATGACATATGGAAGTGTTTTAGCCTCAAATACAGTGTCTGATACTAATTTAAAACTTCACCATCGAACACTCTTTCTCTCAGGCCATATCTTAAATATATAAGAACATTATAATTGAAGGTCGTAAGAAACTGCAATCTAGACATAGCAAAAAGAATTTAGAAGATCTTGGAGGGGAGCTTAACATGAAAATTAGAGTAGAGAAAGATTTATGGTTTGCATTATTATTATTATTATTATTATTATTATTTCATATATGTTTTGATGAAATAATTAATTAACACAATATTATGATTGTGGAATGGTATATGTATCTGGCAAAAAAATCATGAACTATCTAAAAGATAATCCAAATGAATCCATTGAATCCTTGCAAAGAAAGATCAGATGAGATGTTGACGTTGAGGTTAGTAAATTTAAAGTTTATTGTGCAAAACAACATGCCCTTGAATTACTTAAAGGAAATGTTAAGAAACAATACGCAAAACTCTACGACTAATGACATACAGTTGAAAAGTGTAACCCACAGAGTTCTTGTATTTTATATGTGATCGAAGCTTGAATCCACCAATTTTGCAAATGATGTATATGCGTTTGAAACCTTTGAGCGATGGTTTTAAGTCCGAGTGTAGGCCAATTATTAGTTTAGATGGTTGTTTTTTGAAAGGTATGTACAAAGGTCAGCTTCTTTGTGCAGTTGGAAAGAGATGAAAATGACAACATATATCCAATTGTTGTTGCTTTTGTTGAAATTGAAAGTACGATAGTTAAGAATGATTTTTGAACCTACTTGGGGATATTGGATAACCAAGTGTGGATGTTTGGACTTTCATCAATGACAAACAAAAGGGGCTAGTCGAGGCAAATAGCAAAGCATGCCCCAAACAGTGACCATTGTTTCTATCTTAGGCATATGTATAATTACCTTTAAAACACCGATTCAAAGGAGAATAGGTTGTTTTGGAAAGTTGCATCTACCTATAATATAAATGAACACAAGAAAATAATAAAATGAATTCTTAAATGTAACCCAAACGTTGGGGATGCAAAGAATGCTTTTGAGTAATTGATGGACATACCGGAGCATTAGTGGACCTGCGCAGATTTTTCTACAAGAACAAAATGTAATGTAGTGAATCATTTAATAATTACATTATGGAAGCATGGGACCTTCCTATCATTGACATATTTGAATGGATTCGAATGAAGTGTATGTCACGTATTCAAGTTAAGATGGAGGGCATGCAAAGATACACAGGTGCTATTTGTCCGAATATTTCAAGAAAGTGGAGATACAACGAAGAGAAGGTCGTCATTGTTATCCAAGTTGGGCTAGGGATGACGAATTTGAGGTGATGCATTGGCAATTCAATCATGCTAGTGCAACTTGCATCGAGACACTGTAGTTGTGGTATGTTTCAGTTGGTTGCGTATCATTGTTGTCGTGCAATTGCAACTCTTTCCATGAACATACATGACCCTCTTGAATATGTTGATACATATTTTAGCAAAGACACTTACACGAGACTCTATAGCCATATGATTAATCCAGCCTTGGGTATGCATGACTTTGAGCAATCATCATTTGGCCGTGTAGACCCCTCACAAGTAAAGAAACATACTGGAAGACCAAAAAAGGCTTATAGGTCTGATGTCAATGATATTTTAGATGGCATAAAGTCCTCAAAGAAAGGAGTTGACATATACATGTAGTATATGTTTACAACATGGTCACGATAAAAGTTGTAAAAATGTGTCACATCCCAATTCAAGATTTCAAAAGGTTTGTTGGGTTATATAATAAACATGTGTCACATCCCAATTCAAGATTTCAAAAGGTTTGTTGGGTTATATAATAATATATTCGTTCATGTTACTTAAAATTCTTAATGTTTTTCACAAATTTTATGTTCATATTTATAAATAATGCTTCGTGCGAAACAAATGAAGATGAGATACCTCAAAGATCTTTTGTGCATTTTCTTTCACAAAATAGCATTATTATTGAAAAACAGGTTATTACATTTTTATTTATTTTTTTGTTATTACATTCTATTTTTATTTTTTTTTTTACCAACTTCTATTCGTTATTATTATATTTTTATCTATACTAATTTTTTGTATGATTTAAAAGGAAATAAAAAAGAAGACCTCAAGGTGGTTCAGATAGACAATAGTTGTCTACTTTGTACAAGTTTGGAATGAAAGATGATCAAATATTTATTTATTTATTTTAAAAAGACTATTTAAGACATTTTGTATCTTTATTTTGTGTAACACTCTAAGTTTAGCACATGTTTTCATCAAAGAGGAAGTTTATTTTATTTAACATAGAGAGATTTTGTGCAATAAATAAAATACATAAATTTGGTACTTTTATAATAAAACACAAGGGTATATGATGCAATTTACCTTTAATTTAATGGAGTATAATTCATATAAGAAAATTTCTAAAACAAATCACAAAAAAACATGCCCTTAGTTGGGTCGCGGGGCTGTGAGTAGACTTGCTCAAAGAGTTCAATTCGTAGATTATGGTTTGTCGAAATGTCAAATCAAAATCGAACTTTAATGACGGTTTCAGTTACGATTTAACGGTTTATATAAATTTATATTTAGGGTGTGTTTGTTTGGGGGTTTGGATTTTGGATTGGGATTTGAATAGTAAAAATTTTGAATTTGAATAGTTGTATGATGTGATATAAATAGGGTTTGATGTGATGTTTTGAATGTAAAATTGAATTTTAGTATAATATAAAAAATGAAAAATAGGTGTTTGATTTGATGTTTTTGGGGGAAAAAAATTGGATGAATAGTGGAAATCCTCCAAAATCCTTCAAACAAACACACCCTTAATATATGTTTTTTTGAAAAAAATATTTAATTTTATTTTGATATTATTTATTTATTATATAAAAATTATATAAATACTTAAATTATTATAATATAAAATAATTAAAATAATAAATTTAATAAGTAATTAAACTAATTTTTAAATTAAAATAAATTATAAAAATATTAATATATTAGATAAATATAATAGTTTAAATTGAATATAATTATATAATAAAAAATTATAAAATTTAATATATAAATAAAAAATAATACTCCCTCCGTCCTAATACAATAGTTTTGCTTACTATTTTTGTCCGTCCTAAAACAATAGTCTCATTTTCATAAATACTCATATCACCATAAAATTATCTATATTTTCATTATTATTATTATATAAATGTCACTACTTTTATACTAATACACTTACTGGCAAAAAAATATTTTACTCATGATTTTTACCAATTATCAATATAATATCAATACTCCTTAAATCTCGTATCCGACCCAAATAAGATCATAGTTTTGAAACGGAAGAAGTATTATAGTATTATTATTTTTCAAATTATTAATAATTATTTATTTTAATTAATATTAATAATTTTTTATTTATATAAAATTTTAATATTAATATATTTGCTCCTCTGTCCCTGTTAATTTGTTCATTTTTTTTGTTTGCATTTGTCTAATAACAAAGTATTATTTTAAGTGTACTTTCTACTGATATAAAAAATATATTTAAATTTACAGTATATTATAAAAATATTATTATTTTTATATGATATAATATTAATAAAATTATTTTAGTTTTTTCTAATTTATTCCTGTTTACATCTTAATATAATATTAACACTTTTAAAATTCGTTATAAAAATTTGAAAGGTCCTTCTTTCTCCTTCTTCATCTATTCTGTTGCGCCTTCGCCCTGGACAGATTTAAACCGGCGGTTCACGAATTGAAACCGAAACAGTAACTGCCGGTTCGAACCGACGGTTCGGAACCGAATGGGCAAGGTAAGGGCGCCGCGGCCGATCCCAAGCCACAGTGGGTGGACTAAGCCGAATACCGAAATACCGAAATACCGATCACACCTATAGTGTTGGCACACTGACTTCCCGACTTCCCCAAGAACCGAAGCTGAGAGGCGATTCTGATTAAGGGCAGAGATGGGTGGAGGAATGGAGGCCAATAAAAATCGTTTTGTGGAGGATTGGGCTACTGCTAGGGAGAATCTTGAGTACAACTTCCGCTGGACCCGCCGCAATCTTGCCCTCGTCGGTATATTCGGCGTCGCCGTCCCCGTCCTCGTCTACAAAGGCATCATCAAAGAATTTGTAACTTCTCCTCCTCATCTTCGATCTCATATCCTCTCTCCCTGTTTTCAATTGAAATTATTTGATGTTGGGATTTTCTAGTTTCTTTCCTAAAAATTTGAAATTCGGAGTTTGCCTCTCGATTAAACGGATGAATTGAATTGTGGTGGCCATGTTTGGACTAACTATGCTTTTACTGTTCAAGGAAATGGAATGCAATGCGAACGCAACTAATCTAAGTCTTAGTTGGAGAGTGTTCTGTAGATCTTTTCAAGTTGATTCTTTGGTTGAATTGTTTGGACTAACTATACTTTTGCTGGTGTGAAAAACTCAAGAATTGATAAAAATGGCATTGGGCATCCAAGCCACTCCCTTTGTTGAATTTAGGTTTTACATCTTTTCTGTTTCCAAGTAGCTAGAAACAAGCAATCCAAAATGTCAGCTTATGCCACTAGATCTCTAGTTTTATTGAAGCTGATTTCGGTGGCCGGTATATATATTTAGTTTTGTTAACTTCAGATTGTGAGTTCAAGTGGCAACAATGCCCTTTTAACTCCTCAATGAATTGTTTAATGTAGTTTTAGTATCACGATGAATCGGTTGCAATAATTTGTGGACCTTAACTATTGTAACCCCTTCAAATATTGAGGTTGTTAAGACTGACAGAAGGAAGAAGTTAATGTTAAAAGTTTGTAGAGGTTTAAGCAACTTTGGCTTTTAATCTTACTACTGTAAATATTATACGATTGTATCTATTGAAAACTGGCCGGGCAACCTATTTTTGATTATGGGAGTTCTCTCATGAGATTTAAATTATAAAAATGCTTCTCATAGGACAAGAGTTTAAATTTACAGAGTTGGTAAAAATCCCATCCTCATAGTTAAACTATTAATTATATTTTTTATTTATATTTTTATCAAAATCATCTATATGGGTCATCCTGAAATACTTTTGGCGACTCTCTTGAGTCAAGCAGACAAATTTTCTAATAGAAAATAAAAGACGTGGAGATATTATATATCTTGTTCTCTATCTCTTGTGAATTACTTCGATCCTTGTTGTATCTATGATCCAACAATATATCAGTTTAGAATAATATCCGTTATATATTTACCTCCGGTTGGATATATGCAACATTCATCTGAAGTTTAGTTTTGATTATCTGATAATTTGTAAGTTGCACTTTTACATCTTCTAAAGTCTGGTACTGTGTGAGATGGATTGTGTTCTGTTCAAGATGTATATCGATTTACTTTTTACTGATGTGTTAGGAATAGTCCATCTCTCTTTTTCCCACGCACTTGATTTATACATCCATATAGAGTTCTGCTAATATTTAGATTTGATTTTTTTGTTTCATAACTCTTCACTCTACTTTGTTGACTCTTGAGTAGTAGAAACCGTGATATATCCATATGCGCCCTATTTTATTCATGCTGGTATGATGGATGCTACTTGAGATAATGTAATATAGTAGCTAATATTGGTTGTAGCTTTGCTAAGCAATTCCTCCCCTTTACTGGTTTCGAGTTTCTTTGCTGTGTGAATCACACTATTCCATTTATATTCACTATTTTTTTGCAGCATATGCAAGACGAGGATGCAGGAAGACCGTATAGGAAATTCTGGTTGTCGAAATGAAAGTAAGGAATCTTCAATTTATTTGTCCAATAAATGTGGCTCAACTTGAAGACGTGTACTCTTCAGACCCATTCGGTATCATTTTCCAAAATTCTAATCGTTTTTAACATCATGGGGCTTCTTCTTATCGACTTCTTTGGGTGACCTTGTATTAGATAAATAAACTGACTGTTGTTTTCAAAGTATCTGATTTGTCCTTTTGTCATTTTTACATTATCTCTTATATGAAGATAGCAAGCAGTACATGATTAAACTTCTGCTTGCAGTTTCATGGCCTGCGATGTGTGTAATAACATGATTTTCAATGTCCCTTCACAACCACACGACATTGATGTGTATTTCTTTCTGGGAACATTTCATTTTGTTATGCTATTGCCATGATGTGAATTTTGAGAATATCATAGTATCCTCTGTTTATATGATACCGAAAATGGTAAACTTCTTATTGTCTTGATGTGCATTGTTAAACAGCGTTAGAAGCCGTAGTTTTGGTGGCTTAGAAGATTGATGTAAGGTTTGTGAAAAAAATGAATGAAGAATAAATTGATGCTGTAATATGTAAGGGTTCTGAATAGGACTTCTGGAATATTCTATTTCCAGCAGTGGTAGAAAAGCTTTGATATTTTGGCCTTTGCATAATGAAGATGGAATTGCCTGTGGTGGTCTTTTGTGTTACGGTTGGTAGATTTGTTCTACTTAAATTAGAGATGCAGCTGACCTTTCGTTTGGCTATTGTTCAAATTGATTTCCCCATACTTGAAAATGTATTATATTGAATTTGTAGTCTGCATAATTAATTTTGTTATGGTCTCTTTCATGAGCATAATGTCGGGTCTTTTTCAGAAAACGGGGCCTAATCTGATGGCTTGGAGAACAATTTTGTTTGGTTGTAAGTATACATAACTCAATTACATGTTCTCGTGTTATTCAGGATGTTAAAATGAATATGTACTTATGCCTAATGTTAGTGGCAAGTAAAGAGTGATGTTTGTAGTAACTAAATGGATGTGTTACATTCAGTTGGCCTTGTAGCAGAAAGGTTATACATAAATCGTGTGTTTATATGAATTATCAGCGAAGTAAAAATGACATATATGGAAGTGTTTTAGCCTCAGATACAGTATCTAATACTAATTTTAAACTTCACCATCGAGCACTCTTCCTCTCAGGCCATATCTTAAATATATAAGAACATTATAATTGAAGGTCGTAAGAAACTGCAATCTAGACATAGAGAAAGAATTTAGAAGATCTTGGATGGGAGCTTAACATGAGAATTAGAGTAGCGAAAGAAGAATGGTTTGCAGAATGGATGAGAGAGCAATGTATTGCTCGAAAGCGGAGGAGAGATAGTTTATTGAAAACTGTTTAATTACAGTGGGGCAATTGATTTAATTCTCTACTCCAATTGCAAATGTTGGGCGTGTAGAACTTTTTACCACAGCATAATGAGAGTCAAGTCGATTCTGTCAATTTGGTTGTCTGATTGTTGCATTTCTTATACATTTTAGCAGTGGACAGAATTTGATAGTTAGGATTAGGTAAACCTGTTCTATGGCTTTTGCAAGTATGGTGTTTTTTTATTTCCAAGTACTGTAATGAAAGTGGTTAGTGCTAAATGTAAGCTTTGCTTTGAATTTGTTCTGCTAATTTTTTGCTAAGATACTTCACAAGACCTCCATACATTGTTTAGACAATTAGACCTTCCATTTTATGCCTGAGTTGTATAAGGATTTACTAGATTTTAGTTCCAAAGATTAGGGACTGTTTCTCTTTAGTATGGATTGAATTTGGTTATTTGATGTGAGATTGGTGTGTTTGTTTGGGGGATTGGATTTTGAGTTGGATTTGAATAGTAAAAATTTTGAATTTGAATAGTTGTATGATGTGATATAAATAGGTGCTGATGTGATATTTTGAATGTTAAATTAATTTTTAGTATAATATAAAAAATGAAAAATAGGTGTTTGATTTGATGTTTTTTGGGGGAAAATTTTGAATGAATAGTAGGATTTTGGTAAAATCCTTCAAACGAACAAACCCAATTATTATGAAAGAAAATAATGTAATTTTTCAGGTGAAATTTAGAGTTCTAATAGTAAAAGTTCCAATAATGCCTAAGAAAACAGAGTTGTTATTGTCAATGTTAATTAGTAGACTTACGTTTGGCCAAGGCGAACTGCTTCATGAACATACTTTTTTATTATTATTATTATTATTGATACTGAAAATCAATATTTTTTTTATATACTGTATTACTTTTTAAGCTTAGTTACAATTTCTAGTGTGCATTTAAAAGAAGCCACTGCAGTCCCATAACATTAATGGGTGTGTTTGTGAGTTTTAGAGAGATTCGGTAATAATAAAATCTAAAATTGAAATAATCATATAATCTAATAAACATAAATATTAATATAATATTTAAAATATAAAATTTAATTTAATTTAATTTAATAAAAAAATTAAATGAATAATAAAAATCCAGATTAAGAACACAAACAAACAGAAACTAAAAGAACACAAGTTGGTGTTGCGTGAGAAAGATACTAATATGGATGTTTGTTAAAGAGAAAGGAAAGGGATACAACACCATTTTATTCATTTGACACAACAAAATTACAAATTAGAATACAAGTAGAAGAAGAGAATCAGTACAAGGCAAAAGCAAAGCTCATAAATAGAAGCAGCCTGAACCACCAAAGTTGAGCTCCCTAGGCTAGGCTAGGATGATTAATAACAACAACATTAATAAATAATAAACCGAAAGCTCGCCGGAGCCGCTAGCCTAAGCCATTTCCGGGGGCAGAGCTACGGCAAGCTTGGTTGGCGATAACATTGTTCCCGATATCATCGAATCTCAAGCTCATTTGCTGCACCTCCTGCGGAGAAAGTATCTTGATGCATCGAACACAGTTCACGAAATCCCTGACCATGACCAACCACATATTAGATGATGAGGAATCACCTACATTATATCTCAAGAGGACTTGTCCCAACATATAACATTCTCCTCTCGAGATGATATCCATCTCAAAACCAAATCCTTAATCAGAATCAATACCCCATACAATGTTAAGTAAGGATCTGGATTTCCAACCTAAAATCAATTTGTGATAAGTGGAGTGGTCTCCCACATTTTTTCTAATGTGGGATAATATTCAACACTCCCCCCTTATATGATAATCTCGAAAATCCATTCAGGATTAATACCCAATACGAGCACCATGACTCTAATACAATGTTAAGAAGGGATTCGGGATTCCACCTATCACCAATAATGTTTTAGGTTCGAAGCCCGGATCTCTTCTTAACAGGAGTCTAGACCCAACATTTAACACTAGATCAAATAGTAGAGTAGAGTTAAAGAGACGTACTCCCAAGGATCATCCCCGACTAGCAACACATCATTCTCGTGATCAACATACACGAGCTTCCACCCTATCCTCTGCCCCTCCTCCAGCTGTCCCTCGATACCAAATCTACGAGCCAGATCTTGCTTAAGTTCATCGTAGCCTGAGTACCGTGTGATGTCAATGGACCTCCCGACAGCTCCCCGTTTGTACACCTTCAATAATAAGGCATTTGAATTAGTGATTAAGAGTATCCCGAAAGAAAATAAGAACATGGTTGTAACAATCCTTCCCAACCTTTTTGTAAGTCCGCATCCGAGGAATCTGCCAAGCGCCACTTCGATTCATGAAGTTACCATCGTTCATCGCAGCAGCAGAGTCGACGGAAGTGAATGTCGTCATGTCCGGAACTCCAAATGACTGAGAAAAAATGGTCGACGAGATCTGCGGTTGAGGTTCCCCGACATTCCCGTAGGCTGAAAGGATACCTGATCCCACCATGTTCATCACCCCCCCTAATTGGTCATCAATGTTAGCACCGTGAACCTGATCATCAAACAACATTGTCTGTGAATCGAAAGAGATCGGGTTGTTGGTTTGGGGTATCTCCACATCATTCTGCGAAAGAACTGATGTTGCCGAAGACGAGCTATCCAAATAATCTATCTGAGCTCCCGGAGCATTCGCATACGGAAAAATGATTCTGCTCTGACCATTGAATGTGTTCGACAAAGACTTGGCACTGGACGCAGTATCGAAACCATTCGAATTCGGCAAAGCAGCAGAAGGCTGAGCAATCTCATCTCCAAACGCCGGCATACTCTTGTTTGCAGACAGGGAAGTCGAACAAGATAGGACATCGTCGGTAACTACAGATTGGCATCCTCCGGCATGGTTAGGCGGACCCATATGTCCAGGCAATTCGAACCCCCCCGATCCAGATTGCCGGTGATGGCGCTTCGGCTGTGGCGCTGGTTGGGCGAACTGAAAGTCTGTGTGGCTGCTACTCCTGCCCATCTGCTCCGGATGAGTGCGCTTGGAGAAGGAGAAGATCGACGAATTATCTTGGGGCTGGCAAGGCTGCTGCTGCATTTGATTGTCTGACATCCGTAGCTGCTGGTTTACGAGATCAGCCTGCTCGGACTGCATGAGATTCTGCAGTGGCGGGAGATTTCTTGCGACAATAGGAGGAATCTGCGACATCAAGACTGGAGATCGAACCTGGTTTGATGCCGATGATGGGAGTTTCGGCAGGATGGGATCTATCTGCTCTGCAAGGGGTGTTTCCCTCTGGGCATTGAACTGAGAGCTGTTTTTCTGAGGGATTTCAGGGCCCGGAAGGTTTGGAAGAACAGAACCGGCGAAAGAAGGCGTATAGTTTGGCAGCTGCATTGAGGAGGTAGCCGAGGACGGGTGGTTTTGAGGGGTGTTCATCAACTGGGCTAGGCTCATGCCGGGTTGAGTTTGATTGTTGTCGCTGGAAAGCCACGGCATTGTGCTCCTCAATAGGCTGTCTAACTCGGACGAACAATTGTCTGCCAAGGAAGATAATTGCTGAAACATCGTCAACGATAAAAATGGCCCTTCATTTCAACAGTTAGGCTTCGAAATTGTGTTTACCTGGAATTCCCAGTTGCCGCGAGCCCGTCAAGCCGAACAACGGTGGGGTTGGGCAGATGAAAAATGGAGCTGTAATGGGTTCTATCTCCCATATGGAGACACGGGTGCGCCTTTCGCCACCGGTGGACTCATCCCATCCAACCTGGTTGTAGGAAACACAAGTCAGCATCGAGTTAAGGATGTGTGCGATTGAGAAATGGATTGGAACGAACTTGTAGGTTACGCCATTGTGAGTTCGTCCATTTTACTGGATCCAGGTCGCTGATGCCCGTTATTGTTCCCATATATCTGCAGAATGGCGGAGCATTATATAGTTCAGAAAAAAAGAGTACGAGCCTTAAAGGTCTGTAGACTGCACTACCTTCTTGTGCTCGAGTCTTCGGTTTCAAACATCATCCGGAAGCGCATTCCAAGGGAGATGTGGTTACTGCACACTGCCTTGTAGTACTTGGCTAAAGGTACGACGAATTCTGATGGACTAGCCCTAACCATAGTGACACAGAAAGAAAATAAATAAAACAAGAGATTCCCGATACAAATCATTGTTAATCACATTATACAAAACAATTACAATTACCTCGGATTGTAGAATACCGTAAATTGGGTGTTGTTTGAAGCTGCTTGGGCAGCTGCAGCTAGAATTCCAATATGCATGCTGTCACTCGACAATACTGATGATGATAAGTTGTTTGGTTGTCTGTTGGCACGTCTTATGCCTAAAAGGAGCTGCTGCTTATCGTCCCTGCGTGCAAATGCTTGTCATGTAACAATGATGGTTTTTGTTTTACCTTAATTTAGTCGACAAAAGAAGACATTAACTACTTCATTACCTAATGAATAAGACAGAGTCACCAGCAAACAGCCTCTTTCCGCTGACAAAGAGACTCCACCCCGTTGTAAGTAAGTGGCGCTTTGGTTTTCCTAAAATGTCAATTTGGAATCATACAGAGTCGAACGTACTCGAAGAGTAATCATGGAAGCTGCAGTGTATAATCTTACCCCGGAAAATATGGCGAAATTTCCAGACATTGTCGTGCAAATCTCTAGCCGTAAGTTCTTGTGCAGGTGGTTCCATTGTGAAGTCCTACAAAACAAATGATTGTTAGGAGAAAAAAAAAGGAAAGATAATAACTTAAAATCAGTACAATATAGAGATGAAATTATGTTGTGCAAACCAGCGGAGGGAAAATCTTTTCTGCAGCACGGCGAGGCACAGAAAATCCTCCGTGCGTGCTTGTATCACTTGCCGTCAAGGTTTTACAGAAAAACTCAGTTTGAGGTTTATTTAGTTTCATCGAGAAATCCGATTTGAGCAAAGCATCTTTGTCAAACTGCCCATTAATTACATAGAGTCAACACACTTTTGTTAATATCAGAATGTACAAGTTTTCAGTAATTGTTGTTTTTCCATTAAAGTACAAACTAACCGACGGCACAGGCTGGAGTGTCATCTGAGCATACACTTCATCTGTCTCTGGATCAGCCTAACAGTCAGTAATAAGAATTACATTCAGTTACACGTATTCGAAGAAAAGATAAAGGGATAATAATTAAATAACTCATACATGCAAAGTGATGTCATGAAGGAGGCAAAGTAATTTCGACGGAAGATTAGGGTAGTTTGGCACTTGAGCATCCACATTCTTTTTCATGGATGCAGCAACCTGGAAAGGAAATTCAAGATTATTTATAATTAGAAAGGAAAGATGTGCATAAAACATATCCATGATCTAAACAAACTATAATTTTTACCAAATTAAGCATCAATCAAGTACATGTATACGTGTAATAGGATAAATTGTACAAGTTTAAATCAATTCCAAAGCAATGCAAATTTTTTATCGGCTTTAGAATGGGATGGCGTCACCATTTTCAAAAAGCAAAAGCTTATTCCATCACCATTTGACTAGTACAACATCATGCTTGCTAAAAACCAAAAGCTAATGTCATCAATTTTTTACTAGGATAGCATGGTGCCCACCCAAACTCAAAAACTCATCAACTTGCCAACTTTTGACACAGATTAAATTTACAAACCATCAAAAAATATGATAATCAAATCTATTTAGTTCAAATTTAAATTAGCTCATATAATCATGTACTAACCGGAGAAATTTCTATCTGGTTCAAATTTAGGACAAAGATCCTTCTACAACGACTTGTTTAGAAGAGGAATTACAATATCCTTGTGGATATTCAATCGGTCTTGACAATAATGAATTCAATTTATAGGGCTCTATAGACATCCATAACCTTCTCTAATAGTTGGCATGGTGTTATGAGTGAGTGAGACTTGAGAATCATAAATTATCGAGATATTTTTACATAATATCTCTCGTACTCTCCTTTTCATCTACATAATGAAATTATCACTTTACCATGCATCTAATTGAATGGAACTAGTAAATCTCTTCAAATCTTCTTATTTTGCTTTAAGCTTTGGTTGAAATTTATTGATCATCTTTTTTATTTCTGCTTTCAACATTCCCCAAAACAATAATTCAACCATTGCATTTTATGCCTCTGTAAATAATGGAAACGGTTTCTTATATAAATTATATTTTATTTTTAAATTAGATGTATATTGCTGCAAGATTTCCTGTTATTTGATCTTGATTTAGGGAAAATTTTAGATTTTAGCTATGATTCTTATTACATTTGTTTGAATATCCAATATATTCATTCAGTCATAAATCTAAAAACAAAACGAACTTTTCCATTGTCATTTTTAAGGAACAGAACATTTAGACCCTGCTTAGTAATGTTATTTATTGCCTAATGATTAGATACCTAATTTCATTAAATTTGTAAATAACCCAAACATACATTAACTTATTCATTAGATGTTGTTAAACTTTTGGGATAAAATTAAAACCATGATTATGTGGTAGATGAATATCTAATTTAGTTAACGCTACTAAAACACACACATATACGCTCGTAATCGTGAGGTCATGGTTCAACCCCCGACGCTTTCCGAGTCTTGTCTGTCATACATAGTTTGCCTAATGTAATTTGCCTTGTTAGTTTAATTTGCATGCTGTTAAGTTTGTCTTATCGGCTTAATTTGCAGGCTATAAATTCGATCGGGAGTTTACCACATTATACTACTCAACAAAATTGTGTATCTTACAATAGGAACAAAATACTCAATTACTCATATTACTAAATGAAATTCAATTTTGTTGAGCACTGTAATTATTTTATGGAAAAATATTTTGTTTGTTGATCATGCAGTTCTGGCATGCAATGTGATTGTTTTATCGTTACAATGGAAAAAAAATATGATTTAACATCCAATCACAAATCCCTATATATATGCCGTGAAAAGGGTGAAAAATAGTAAGTAACATCTAAAAACTCCAAAAGGAAAAAAATTACTAAATAGACTATTTAACAAATTAGCAACATGATTACTTGTTCCTTTTTACTTTTAATGTTTTCTAGGCGAAATAATCGGTAAATATGACATTTTAAATGAAAAATAGGTATTGGATATAAAACTAAGGATCGTAACTCCATAAAACACCTCACAAAATAAGAATTCAAAATGCATTATCGTCGTCAAGAACTTAAAAAGGAAAAGAACTCCAAAAGAAAAATCATTCAACAATAGGCCGAGAAGCGCATAATGCCGTAAAGAAGGTACTTTACAAATCATGGGAGAGTTAGGAGTAAAGTTAAAAGACATCTAATCTAATTTGAACTGTTAAAAATAATGAATCTTAAGAATAACATTTGTAAAAATTTTGCTCAAATTTTATATAGAATGACACATAGAGTTATCATATATTCATCATTTATATCAGGATCACAATTTAGGAAACATAATTATCAAAGAAACCTTTATTTAGGAAAAGTATAATCCTCAAAGTCAAAACTAATAGCAACTAAATGACATCAAGGTCCCTAAAGAAAGCCTTCCCCACCCTCAGTCCCATCCAAACTATGAAGAAAAATCATGTCCACCAATAATCAACCACTTGCCAATGTTGGCATCATCCACTTGACATTGTCCTTTTCTGACATCCATCCAACCCTTTATTCCAACTCTTAAGATTATTAATCCATCCAAGTTTTTCCAACCTTCCCACATCTACAACTCTATTGATCACCAATTATATATATCTAAGTATTATGGAAGCGGGGGCCACGGCATGGCAACAGTTTTGATCATTAACTAGAACTGCTAAAATCAATCATGGAATTCTTACATTGAACCAAGTAATATATGAACAAGATGATAATGGTGATGATTATAAAGCAGCATATGACAGGCAAATTAACAGCTGATGCAAAATGAGGATGTAATACCAATAGGCTAGGTTAGTGTGAGAATGAACCTGCTCACTATGTCCTTGAGGGAAGTAGATGACGTGGGTCCCGGCCGCCGGGAGATTCACCAGAGGGCCGGCGCAAGCCTGCCAGAGCTCCACGTTTATGTTCTTCCTCTCAACTGTCGTTGGCCAAAAGGGAAAATTCAAAATATGTTAGAATTGAGTTTCTTAATCGAAAATCAATTTCCTATAAATAGGATGCAAGGGTTTTCAATGTTCAATTTTCAGAAGATCAATAAGAAAGAAAAGAAAAAGAGTCATATGCTTATGTATAAATTTGGAGCAACGATGGAATGAAACAATAACCACCACCTTCGCCGCCACCGCCGCCGCCGCCGGCTGTCGGTATCCTCATTTTGTTCTGTGTAGAACTCTTCCTTTAATTTTTGCGCGCCGGAGCTGCTCGCCGGATTCTCATTCCGACGGGGAATAATCGGGAGAAATGGAAAGGATGGGCATCCCCAACAAATTAATAAAGTGAAAACCTAAGAAGGTTCAAACAATTTCCGATTGAAATTAAAGGCGCGGCTGTGAATGTGAAGTTGAAGGAAGATGTTTTGTCAGCTAGGATGAAGAAACACAAAAGGAGGGGTGGAGATGGAGATGGAGATGGAGAGAAAAGGGATGGAAAAGACGACGACAATAGAGAGAAGAAAGGAGGTTAGGTTTGAGAAATGAATGAACGAATGAATGGCAGAGAGAAATCCACTTTTGACGAGTTGCCCCCCTTAGTCCGTACACACTGCTTTTCCAAACACAGATAGCGCCGCCATAGGATAGGATATGAGCTCAATACACACCACCACCACCACCCCCACCACCAGTCCTTTCTTCAATTCCTCTATATATATATATATGTATGTATGTATATAAGAATAGTTGATAGAGGAGCAGTGCAGAAGGTTGGATTTCTTTTTGTTCTGAAATCCCTTTTGCAGGCGGGCAATCTAATAAGGTTGATTTATTAGCTTCAACTTTGGCTGCCTGCTCTTTCTTTCTTTCTACTCAAAGCCCTTTCATCTTCTTCGTCTTCACAGCTTCATCATTCTTATTTTGGGTATATCTATTTCTTCGATAATCAATCAACAGTTGAATATTTTAATCCTCTTTGATCTGCCAAACAAACACTTACACAACCGTCCGTGAGGTATAAGCGACACTTTTGACTCTTGCCTCATTGACTTCACTCCCTCCAAAATCCCAATCAGCCTAATTTACTCATTTCATCTAGGACTTGCAAAGGAATCATATCAGTTCGGGTTTGGGGTTCGGGTTCGGGTTCCGATCAAATATAAAAAAATTAAAAATTTTTTGATAATATGATTTGTATAAATTATTTAAGTCTAATATTTTTAATTTTTAACTTAAAAATATAATTTTTATTAACAAAAAATTTAAATACATAAAATATATATATTGAAGCAAAAACTATTTATTTCTTCAAAGTGAAGAGAGTCTGATTGGAATGGCGTAAAAAATAAGTAAAAGCAGAAGTATTCGATTTTTGTTTGGATGAATCATTATAAAAGTAATTTTTGATAAATAAAAAAACTATTTGAATGTAATAGAATTGAAAGTGCTTTTTTAACCGTTAAAAAGGACATGCTGTGAATATAATTGTAGTTTTTATAAAAATTATATATATATTAATTTTTTAAAAATATATTTAAATATTTTAAATAAAAATATAGAAAACATATTTTTTAAATTTTAACTTAAAGAAAATATATAAATTACAAATAAAATTACAATATAATAGGAGTATTAAATTAATCGTAATTTTCAATTTATTTTAAAATTTTAGAATTTATATTTAATAATTTTAGTATAATTAAAAAAATTATATGCTTTTATTTAAATTTGGAATTTAAATTATAATTTTAAATCTAATTCAAATATAACATATATAAATTAAAAATAATAATATAATTATATTTTTAATTTTTTAAAATTTAATATATAAATTAATTTATTTTTATAATTTTTAATAGTATTGTATTTATTATTATTATTATTATTATTATTATTATTAAAGATAAAACAATAATTTTAGTTGAAAAGTGCTTCTATTTATTTCAAAAACTATTCTCAATGTGCTTTTGAAAAAATTACTTTTCAGCCTCAAAAATTGCTTCTACTTTTGGACAGAAGTCCATCCAAACAGTTACAAAGTACTTCTTTTAGAAGTAGAAATCAAAAGCAGCTGCCAGAAGCCAATTCAAACGGGGCTTAGGTCATCTCCAACTTATTACTTCATTTTTGCAGCAGCTCCATCAGTTGATCTAGATTAATTTTACTTCAATCATAAACTTCAATTTTTACTATATTCCCTATATATTTCTCTTTTGTATTATTTTATTATAATTTTTCATATTTATAAATTACACTCTAACTTTAATTTGTTTTTACATTATCACTAGAAAAATATATAATTCATATTTTATTTATAAAATTATCACTTTTTTAAAAAATAGATTATATATTATTTTTAAAAAAATTAAAATTACACATCACTTTTAAAATATAAAATTATATGTCACTTATAAAAAATAAATTATATACTAGCTCCGTCGGACTCTAAAAGTCTCATTTACTTTTTACGTATTGATATTCAAATATTAATTATTATATCAAAACTTAGTACAAATTAAGAAAAAATTATAAAAATACTTTCATTACTGTCTTATAATACTACTACAAGGACATTTATACAAAAAAATTATACAAATATAAAAATATTTTTAATATTAAGTATAATGATGCAAAACGTAAATGTGACCCTTAGAAGCGGACGGATAAAGTATAATTTTTTTTAAAAAAAAAAATTGTATATCACTTTCCAAAAAATAAAATTATATAGTAGTATCACTTTTAAAACAAATAAAATTACAACACCCTACAATAACTAAAATACATAAAATACTCTACTAAAAAAATGAAGTGCTATCCCCACAAAAAATAATTTTGGTAATAATATGTTTTTTATGTCTCAATTAAATATATTTTTTATTTTTTAATAAATTAAAAAATAATAATATTTTATTAATAAGTGAAAATGTATAAGAAAGTTTTAAAAATTTTGGCCTTGCAAATACAAAGAAAATAAATGTGTTTGTAAAAATTAAATGTATTTGATATTTGTATATTAATTATTTGTATTATAATAAGAAATATGTCAACGTGACATACGAAAATGATAAAAATAAAAAATTGAGGTAGGACGAAAAAATTATATCTTATTAATCAATTTTGATTTAATTTTATTCAAAATAAAATTAATCAATTTTAGTTCTACTATTAATTTTCCAACAAAATGTATTGATACGACAGTTGATCATATAGATTAAACATGGACCGTAATAGATAAAGTATTATCCTATTGGTTACGGCCATGTGCAATATATTCAACATGGCAATGTTTGAATACGTTCGACAAGATCTTGTTCAAACATAGTCATGTTTTATTCGTTCTTATAAACTATTTTCTTTTTTATCTAAAATATTTATAAAATGTAAATTCTGATGGAATATATTGTGAGAATAATAATATAAAAATATTATCAAAAATAATTTTTAAATCACGCCGAATCAAAGTAAAATAAGTCAGATCAAACTTTTATTAACCAACCAAATCTATGTTAAAAAAATTATGGCCTAAGTCAGCCTTATTATCATCGAAACAAAAAGATTGTAAGACCTAAATTTAAGACCTAACTTCATGTTTTAAAATCTAACTTAAGCTATCAACCATTTAAAAATTTATATAAAAATATAGATACAATTATTTATATAAAATTTATATAACAATAATTTTTAAATTTAGTATTAGTAAAAAAAAATATATATAGATACAATTATTTTTTTTATGTATATATATAATTATATAGTTAAAATAAATTAATTTTATATTTAATTATTATACTTAAATCTATTTTTCTAAAAAAAAATTATAAATACTAAAAAATATACAAATTATATATATTAAATTAAAATTATATATATGTAGATTTATATTATATGAAATATTACAAAATGAGGAAGGGGAATGCATTAAAATAACAAAAAATGATACAACAATATTTTTTCATTATGTATCGTTAGCTGGATCAAAGAAAATTATCATATGCGTGATATTATCATTAAGTATATCATCAAATGTATTATTGTGGGCTGATTTGTTTCGACAACAATTCTTCCTTATTTTTCTTTTAAGATCTTATATAATTTAGCAAAGTGACTGGTTGTCCGATAAACATGACTCAATGAACTTTAATGCTACACTGGGTGCATTCTTTATCATTATTTATGTTTCTCCTGGTGTAAACCTCTATTGAGGTTTATATATGACCTTATATCATTGTAGTTTTGATTCGGCTCATATCGAGATCTGTTCAGATAATTGTTATGATCGCATGAGTTAGTCCTACCCCGTCTGAAATTTTACTTTCGGTTGCTAATCAATTTTTTGATTTCTAGTATATTCATTATCACATACCGAATTTTTCGATTGTGTTGTATTTGCCTTTGAAAATGATTTTGCACATTTGGACTGAGATTCATGATTTTAAACAGCAATCCGTTATTTGTTCGGCCAACAAAAGACAATAATCAGCTCATGATATTTGTGAAAACCTTTTTGGCAATAATGTTTCTGCAAAAGCATGTTAGATGCATAAAAAATGAAGAAAGTTTTCTCCATCGTATCACTTTTAAATATATTTTAATTACAGTATCGCAGTTGTGATGTAATTTTAAACATGACAGAATTATATTATTGGACAGTTTTAAAGTTATGAAACCGCAAACTTTGCAATTCTCTTCGTGCTTTTGACAACAAAGTTAGTCTTGTGTAATCGTATCTATTTTTTCAATCTCTCCTATAGTTCGAGTGGGGATTCCAACATCATATATTATATTTTTCGTATCTTATCAATGTAATGATACAAAAAGATGGTGACATTTGCACAATTTTGATTCGTGGGATTTATATCATGGATAATGGTATTTTTTAAGCCCATTGAGGCTAAAATGTATTTTAATACGGTGAACCTATACCATACAGTTTTGGCAAGATATTAGAAAAAAGAAAAATTCTGTGTTTGGTAAAATTTAGTCATAATAAACAGGTAAAATATTACCTTTGCAAAAATTAAAAACAAACAATTGTATTGATAATGTATTGTAATATTATTATAGAGATAGTAAACAAATATTATTATCTTTTAACACTATTTATATGTTTCTTCAATTAAATTTCTTCAAATTTTATTATTTGGACTTTGTATTTTCGGGAAAAAAAAAATATTATTTTTTTTCTTACGAAACATTCAAACAAACATTATTTTTATACTTAAACCCAAACCAATTTTTTTTTTAAATTCAACCTAAAGAAACAAATCCTATATGTTATTTTGTATATATTTAAATATAATATATATATAAGTGCAATGTGCTCTGTGTTATATGTATATATGACCCGTTCTATATATACCAGTGTATAATAGTGTGTGTAAGTGTAAATATATGTATATATATATATATAATATGTATGAAATGTAATGTATGATAGAGAGGTTATCGAGAGAGAATTGAAGGTTTGTTTCTTTAACTAAATTTCTATATATTTTATTATTTCAATTCTGTGTTTTTTTAAAAAAATAATTTTTTTCTTTTTATAAAATATTCCATCAAATATTATTTTAATGCTAAATTTAAATCAATTTTTTTCAAATTTAACCAAAAGAAACATACCTGAAGTAAACTAGGGTGAAATAATGTATGAAAGAGAGGGGCTAATCATACAACATTGATATCTATAGACAATGATATGGTGGTAGAATTTGGATATTATGCATTCACATATATATTGCGTAGTGTTTTAATTTGATTTGAATTTAATAATAAAATAATATATGATATGATGTTGTAAAAGAAAAAAATATATTTTTTTTGCAAAAATACAAAATTCAAATAGTAAAAACTTAATATTTAGAGGCAAAAAAACAAACTCACATGCTTCAACATTTAAGCATATTTTTACAAAAGTTTATAATATTTTTATATTTAATTAATTTATTTTTAATTACTGTAATAGTTACAAGAATGGAATATAAATGTAATTTAATGTAATACATATAAGAAAAATTCTATAAAAAAATTACAAGAAAACATGGCCTTAGTTTTATTTTATCTTTTTGAAAATACAATGTGTCTGACTCCGTTGCAAGGTTGCGAGCTGTGAAAAAATTTGTCTACGGTTCAAATTGTTGATTACGATTTGTCAAAATTTTAAACCGAAATCAAACTTTTCAAACGATGATTTCAGTTATAAACCACCGATTTAGATAAATTTATGTTTAATAGTTTTTTATTTTCTATTTTTTCTAAATCTTAATTTTATCTAAAAATAATTAATTTTAAAATTTGATATTATTTATTTATTATATAAAATTATAAATAAAATTAATTAAATTATTATAATATAAAAATAATTAAAATAATAAATTTAGTCATATCAATTTTAATATATAATATTTTTTATCATATTATAATTATTTTTACTAATATATTTTTTAATTACTAGCTAATAGCCAAATTAAATGGACTTTACACATCTATAGCCGCACCGGCCACCAGGTTTTTGCTCTTTTTTCTTCTTCTCAATTCTTCCTTCGTCCTTCTCCTCTTCTTTTCCTTTCTTTCGAACCGGCGGTTCGATTTGTGTACAATTTGAAATCGCAACAGCCGGTTCGAAAACTAGCGAACCGCCGGTTCGAACCGAGCTGTGAGGTATTGGCTCGGCCGATCCCAAGCGACAGTGGATCCAAACTAAGCCAAATACCAAAATTCTTACCAATCACACCCATAGCCGTAGCGTTGGCACACTGACTTCCCGGAGAACCGAAGCTGAGAGAAGAGGAGGCGATTCTGATTTGATTCAAGGGCAGGCAGAGATGGGCGGAGGAATGGAGGCCAATAAAAATCGTTTTGTGGAGGATTGGGCTACTGCAAGGGAGAATCTCGAGTACAACTTCCGCTGGACCCGCCGCAACCTTGCCCTCGTCGGTATCTTCGCCGTCGCCGTCCCCGTCCTCGTCTACAAAGGCATCATCAAAGAATTTGTAACTTTTCTTCCTTGATCTCATATCCTCTCCCTGTTTTCAATGAAATGATTTCATGTTGGGATTTTCTAGTTTCTTTCCTAAACAATTGAAATTCGGAGTTTGCCTACCGATTAAACGGATGAATTGATTTGTGGTGGCCATGTTTGGACTAACTATGCTTTTACTGTTCAAGGAAATGGAAATGCAATGCGAACGCAACTAATCTAAGTCTTAGTTGGAGAGTGTTCTGTAGATCTCTTCAAGTTGATTCTTTGGTTGAATTGTTTCAACTAACTATGCTTTTGCTTGTGTGAAAAACTCAAGAATTGATAAAAATGGCATTGGGCATCCAAGCCACTCCCTTTGTTGAATTTAGGTTTTACATCTTTTTCTATTCCCATGCAGCTAGAAACAAACAGTCCAAACTTCACCATATGCCACTAGATCTCTAGTTTTATTGAAGCTGATTTCGGTGGCTGGTATTTTGTATGTATATTTAGTTTTGTTAACTGCAGATTGTGAGTTCAATTGGCAACAATGCTCTTTAACTCCTCAATGAATTGTTTATATGTAGTTTTAGTATCACGATGAATCGGATGCAATAATTTGTGGACCTTAACTATTGTAACCCCTTAAAATATTGAGGTTGTTAAGATTGACACAGAAAATTTTGTAGAGGTTTAAGTTACTTTTTGCTGTTAATCTTGCTATTGTAAATATTATACGATTGTATCTATTAAAAAGTGGCTGGGCAATCTATCTTTTTATTATGGGAGTACTGTCGTGAGATTTGAATTATAAATGAATGCTTCTCATTGGACGAGAGTTTAAATTTACGAGTTAAAAGTGGTAATATTATAATCCCATCCTCATAGTATAACTATTTATTTTATTTTTATTTATATTTTTATCAAAATCATCTATATGGGTCATCATGAAATACTTTTGGCGACTCCCTTGATCCCAACAGACAAATTTCTAATAGAAAATAAAAGCCCTGGAGAGATTATATATCTTGTTCTCAATCTCTTGTGAATTCGTTAGATCCTTGTTGTATCTATTATCCAACAATATATCAGTTTATAGTTACACCTCTGGTTGGATATATTTCATCTTCTGAAGCCTGGTATTGTGTTGAGATGGATCATGTTCTGCTCTGTTCAAGATGTATATCGATTTACTTTTACAGATGTGTTAGGAATAGGCAAATCTCTCTTTTTCCCCACACTTGATTTATACATCCACCTAGAATTCTGCTAATATTTAGACTTGATTTTTTATTTCATTACTCTTTGCACTACTTTGTTCACTCTTATGTAATGGAAACAGTACAAAGATATATCGATGCGCGCCCTATTTTATTCACGCTGATATGATGAATGCTACTTGAGATAATTGTAGCTTTGCTAAGCAATTCCTCCCCTGGCCTGTACTGGTTTCGATTTTCTTTGCTGTGTGAATCACACTATTCCATTTATATTTCACTACAGCATATGCAAGACGAGGATGCAGGAAGACCCTATAGGAAGTTCTGGTTGTCGAAATGAAAAGTAAGGAATCATCATCCATTTATCCATCTAATAAATGTGGCTCAACTTGAAGACATGTACTCTTCAGACCCATTCGGTATCATTTTCCAAAATTTCAATCGTTTTTAACATTATTATCGACTTGTTTGGGTGATCTTGTATTAGATAATTAAACTGACTGTTGTTTTCAAAGCATCTCCGTTGTATTAGACAATCTCCAACCACATATTAACACTGTGGGTTTGTTTGCTTAGTATTTTTGAATGAATTTGGTTTTTCATTTTTTTTATACGTTAGATTAGAGAATTGTATGGGTAATATAAAAATAATATTTTGTATTAAATTACTAAATTTTTATTAATAAATAAAAAGTATATATTATATATTATTATTGTAGAAAAATCACCATCAATGGCTTAATCAGAAAAGCTCATTGGAATCGATTTAATCATAAGTTCTCCTGTCCCCTTAAGAAAAGATCCGGACACTCAAATAATTGATGTAAAGAGAGGAAAAAATAAGGCTAATAAAAAACTGGATAAAACTTTATCCAAAATTTCTCTCTTACTTCCACTCTTTTCTCAACTTCCCTTGATTGGACACTTCCACTTCAACTGGGCTGCCTACACCTTATACTGGATCTTCCTGCACAATGGGCCAAGCTGTCAGTAGACCCATTTATTAGTTTGGGCCATATATAATCAAATGTTGGGCCGTGGATGACTCGGGTCGGAGGTCACTTCATTTTCGCTATACTTGCACCGGACTGACTCAATTCATTTTGGTGTGTATATATATGTTGTGTTAATATAAATATATATATTGTATTTTTTATAATGTTTATAGAAAATTGTATCATTAAAAATGTTGGGTGTTTCTCTATTTTTTTTTTTTCGAAACTCATTTCCAGCTATATCTTTTTATTTTTTGTATGGTTAAAGTGTTATAGTATTTAGGATTTGTTTGCTCAATTTTTCTTTTTTAATATAACTTGTAATATATATACTCTTTTCGTCCACGACGTATATATCCATTTTATCATTTTAATCTGTGCATCGTAAATGTACGTACTTTCTACTAAAATATAATAATATCATCGCCTTTCTTATGGCATTACACAAATACCATAAAATAATAATACCATTTAAATTAACAAATAAACACATCTATTTGTGAAATTACAATATTATCCCTAAAATAATAATACCATTTCCCTTCCCCATCCACCCACCACTCAATCCTCTTCTTTTCTCATATTTGGGTTTTAAACAATACCTTGGGTGTGTTTTTTAGAGGGGTTTGAAGGAATTTATGATTGTGTTTTATTTTTATTTGAATTTTGGGATGAATTTGAATTTTGTTGTTTCGTTTGTGTTTAAATTTGGTTGGAATTTTGGGAGTTTTGATGGATAATGAATAAAATAATATAAACGTGTATTAAATTTAATTGATAAACTTTATATTGTATGAGTTGATTATGAATTTATAATGTACCCAATATATATTTAAATTTTTATTTATTTGTATTATAAAAAAATTTATTCTCTACAAAATGACATATATATTATATATATTTTATTAAATTATAATATAAATAAATATCAAATAATTATAATTACAGGTTCCTGTGCACGGCAGTGCACAAGACTGCTGAACTTTTCTAATTTAAATAAAAAAAAATAAAAGACCGCTGAACTTTTCGAATTTAAATAAAAAAAATAAAAAAACTGTAGCATGTCAGAAACTGTTGGACAAAAGAAAATTGGATGAGTTTCGCGCCACTTTCCAAACCTATAGTAATCGCACACGAGGTTTGGCCAAACCTCATTTGAAGAAATATACCCCTAATTTTCATTCCTCTTATCTCGCTGTCGTCAATCCTAATCGCCGATTATGTCCCTTTAACCATAGTCTCCGCCGCTGGTAGAAGGTTATTTGCCGTTAAAATCCTAACGTTTGTGCTGAATGAAGAGTTTTGAGGGTGGAAATACAATTTTGGCCAGTCAGACGAAATCGACCGATGGCGGCACCTCGTCAACCATGAATCCTGGATCTGGGGTTGCCGTCATCGTTGTTGACCTCACCACCATTCTATATCAAATTGCCCAATTAATACATATATCGTATGAAAAAATATCAAAATTATTGAATACCGTAGTTTTGATATGATATGATACCGTAACAAATTTTTGCATTACGGTAATTATATATACTTTTAGTATTTTTGATGTTATATACCAAAAATTGTCATTTTCAATTTTGATATTTATTATTTAATATATCGGTATATATTTAAAATTCCGTAATTGATACTAAAATTGTTAATTTTTTAATATATTTTTGTAAAAATTATAAATTATTTTTAATTTCGTTATTCGGCATAAAAAATTATACTATTACAGTTAGAAATAATTTGGCACGGTATACCAAAAATACCAAACCATATTGTACAACGTATCAATTTTTTTTTGGTATGTTTAAAAAACATATGGATGCCAAATCAAAAATTCGATATATACCAAAATACCCAAAAATTAAAATTTTTGGTATATACTAAAAAATGTCAAACTAAGGGCGTATATTCAATTTAGACTTTGTAGGATTTTGTTGGACTTTCAAAATCTAGGTGTATTCAATCCAAACTTTTAAAAATCCATTAAAATTTGGAGGTATCAAGACTTTTAAAAATCTTTTAAAATTTTGATGTATTCAATACAGACTTTTAAAGTCTTTTAGATATTCAACCATTGAAAGTCTATAGATTTTAATGAAAAATCGTAAAAATTTTGTATATGATAGAACCTCTCCTGATCAGCTGAATAGATTCTTAAAATTATTATTATTATTATATACGTTATTTATTTTTTATGTAAAAAAATTATATAAATAATAATAATAATAAAGAAATATAAAACTAATTTGATATATTAAATGATAATATAATACTAAAATTATTAAATTAGAATTAATAATCTACAATATAGTAGTGTTACAGATGTTACAATATTTCTACATTATTAATAATTATATATTATATTTATAAAATTCGCGTTGGAGATAAATTTATATAATTAATATATATTCATACAAACATTATTTTACAATCCTACCAAATCCATATAAATCCATAAAGAATTCAATAAAATTTGTAGAAATCCATCTAAATTAATTACTAAAATTCATCAAACTCAGCGTGGATTTTATAAATTCACATAAATCCATAAACTTTTTAAAATCCAAAAAAATCCATTAAAATATCAATTGAATACTATCCCTAAATGTCATTTGTTTTGGGTCGGAGGTGAGAGGGAATATATTTATATTTTTAAAAAAATATAGTATTATCTCTATCCCAAAATATATGATTCATTTTTTTAGTCCGTTTCAAAACAGATAATCCATTTATATTTTTAGTAAATTTATTTATTTTAGAAATAAGTAACAAATATAAATTAATTTAATTAAATTTCTAACATAATAATAACAATTCAAAGTCCCTGTATTTTTGTTTTTAATTTTCTCATCAATAAATAAATATTTCTATTTATATTTAAAACTATTTTTGTAATAAAACTAGTTTAAATTAGTTTATATATATATAATATTATTATTTATAAAATAATATCTATATTATATATTTTTATTAAGATATAATGCTAAAAGTATTTAGACATATATTCTAAATTTCTTATAATTATATATATTTATTTATATTTTTAAAATATAACAATACTATTCATATAAAAAAATACAAAAATAATATCACAACTTACTAATTTACCGTACTTAAATAACCGTGTCTGAAACAAATGAGTCATTTGTTTCGGATAAAAGAAATATAATATACTATACATATTTTTATTATAGCTGTTAACGAGTTGAGTCGAACAAAATTTTAAGTGTTCGTGTTCATTCGTTAACATTCGCGTACGAGACTCGTGTTCGTTCGCTAAGCTTTTGAACTCATTCGTAGTATTCAAGCTTGGCTCGTTAAAAATATTTATGGTTTGAGCCCGCGTTCGTGTTCGGCTCGATTAGGCTCAATTAAACTCGTTCAAGCTCATTTGTCTCACTTTTTTTAATTTATATATAAATTAAAAAAAATTAAAATTGATATTTTATTTATTTATAAATTATAATTATAATTATATACTCCCTCTGTCCGGCTATAAAGTATACATATTTCTATTTTGGGACGTTCAATTACTACCCTTACTTTACATCACATCATTAGTAAGGGCAAAAATATCATTACACTATTTTTACCTACCTACTATAATTACAATACTATTATTTCTTAAATTTTGCACGAAAAGTAAATGTATACTTATTGTTTGAACGGACGGAGTAATATTTATAGTAAATATATTATTTTAACGAACGTTCGCAAATATTTGCGAACAAAATTCATGCTCGTTCGTTAACTAAATGTATTTGTTTATATTATTCGACTCGACTCGTTAATATACGTAAACGAGCTTCAACTGTACGAATCGAACAGAGTTCACGAATAGCTCGATTCGTTTAACTGTTCAAATTTTATTAAGAAGTACAGTACCATCCTCTTAATTAGTTAATTTTATTTTATACTAATATGATAGTATAAATTATTCTAAAACGTCTTCAATATTCGATGCATGACAGAGTATCGAGTAATTAACAACTAATCTCCACGTACGAATAGGTACAAATAAAGCTTAAAAAAGTACAAGGGGTATTATAGTAAATGCACCTCGGATTCCAAAGGCAAGAGAGAAAACTCACAACTCATTAGTCAATCAATATATCACTGCAACATTCCACTAAGAATCCCTTTTCTCTCTCTCTCTCTCTCTCTCTCTACTCTCACTCTAACTACATCATCGTCTTCTTCATCTTTTCTTAACCAACCCTAAATCCAATCCAGATTCCTATTTCCCATTTCCAGCGCGGACATGGCCTCAGCCATCAAGAAAGTGAACATGATCACCCAAATCGTACGGCTGAGGCAAGTGGTCCGCCGCTGGAAAGCCAAGAGCCTCACGCGCCACCCCCCCGCCGCCGCCGTTGGATCCAACCGCCGGCCCACGCCTTCCGGCTCACTCGCCGTCTACGTTGGCCCGGACCGGCTCCGGTTTGTGATCCCCACCCGGTTCCTCAACCTACCGGTTTTCGTCGCCCTCCTCCGGCAGGCGGAGGAGGAGTTCGGATTCCAGAGCTCCGGCGGGCTGGTCCTCCCCTGCGACCCGGCCTTCTTCACCGAAATGCTCCGCTTCCTCCACCGCGACGAGGACAGATTCCGGTCGGCGGGGCTCGACGAGTTCCTCAACGTCGTCTCCTCCTCCGATCAGTTTTCGTGCAAAGAAACGACGTCGTCCCACGCCTTCGCTCCATTGCTGCCCGTCTGAGTCTGAAAATTAAACACACTCATTACCTTATTCCTCACTCTCCCTCTCTCTTTAGATCTTCTTTAACGACTATTTTTTTTTTAAATAAAATTATTTCTGTATTCCTTCCCCCAAGCTTTTTTTTAAAGGGGTTTGGATTCCATTACCCCTTTTCTGACTTTGATGCTTGAAACTGGAATTTAGGGTTTTCTTCTTTTTTTTTCATCGTTTTTGTGAAATGAAGACATGGATGAAGCCAGATTTTTTGAAGTAATGGTGCTTTTCTGGCTCATGTCTCATTATTATGATGATGTATCTGTAATCTGTAATGTATTTATTTTCGTCGACAGAGCAGAGCAGACAATGGTTGGAATTAATTATTGATGGATAATTCATAATTCTGTATTTGTGGTCTGAATTCTGTGGAAAAGTGTGTGTCGAGAGACGTGATGTTGTTTTCCAAAGAGTTCTGAAACCATTGGGGAGCAAATTACGGTTTGTAGTAGGGACTTATTATTATTATTTATTTATTATTATTTTTTTCTTGATTCCCCACGCAGTTGGATTAAATTAATTAACGACTTTAAAAGTGCGATTGGCATTAACGTTAGCCTGCTGCTGCCAAATAAGTTAAATCCCTTTTTTTTTTGTTGTAAGGTGTCAAAAGTAAACCCGATCCGAAAAATCGAACCCGTTCGACCTGAAATTTTTTAGGTTCGAGTTTGGGTATTTCGGGTTTGAAAAAATTCAGGTCGACCCGAACCTGAAATAAAAAAAATTCGTGTCGTGTTTCGGGTTGACCTGATAACCTGAAATATAAAAATCAGGTTAGGTTTTGAGTTTCGCGTTTTGGGTTGACCTGAAATTTTTATTATTATTATTTTAATTTATAATATTTATATTATTTTAAATATAAATTAATATAAAAATTAAAATAAAAATGATATTTTTTAGGTCAATTTAATTTTTTTTAAAAATTTTCGGGTTTGTTCGGGTTTCGGGTGACATGAAACTAATTCAGGTCAACCTGAACCCGACCTGAAAGAATTCGTGTCGTATTTGGGTCTAGGGTTTCAGGTCAGATTTCGGGTTCGGGTCGTGTTCGGGTTGACTCGACACGAACACGACCCAAAAACATGAATTGACACCCCTACTTTTTTATTCCATATACAAATTAAGGCAGTGTCTTCGAATTTAATGTTACTTCCGTCACCCGCGAATCTATCCATTTATTTTTTTTCATGTTAACCTTTGAATATTAATTATTATATCAAAACATAGTACAAATTAAGAAAAAATATCAAAAATACTTTTATTGGTATATTATAATACTAATGTAATGATATTTGTACAAAAAATTATACAAATATAAATATATTTTTAATGTTAAAAACTATGACGGACAAATATGGACGGAGGTAATACATAGAGTGTATCAAATTAAATTAGTTTCTCATAGAGTGAAAACACACTAATTTTTTTTTTATTATTATATTTTTATAATTAGTAACCCGCACTGTACGAAGTATGTGTGACAGACAAGACTGAGAGGCATCAGGTTTGAACTCATGATCTCACGATTACAAATTCATCCTCATATCATCAAACCATCCTTTACGGGATGTGAAAATCACTATTTTTTTTTTTTTGGATGACATAGGAACTCGCAGCCGCTACCCGAAAGTGCGCATTGGGTAAACCCTCGATCGAACCTAATACCCTGCAAACCAGGCCCGACAAGAAAGTCACACTAGGACGGATGAAATATTAATTTTATTTATGATGAAAGAGCTAAATTTAAAGTGAACAATGTGAGAGTTTGAAAAATATTATCATATATGAACATTTGGCAAGTCAACTTGCTCGTTACAATATCCGTAGTATACCAAATATGATTTATCAAATTTTTTAGAATATTATACTATTTTCTATTTTGGGATATAATACAAAAGTTAATATCCATTATCAGGACTTACGACTCGACACTAAAGAGAAAAAGCTATGAAGTTATTCTTGAACATCTATGAAGCTTAGGAAATGATTCGAAGGAAGAAATTTCAGTGTTTCAATTGGAGAAGAAAATAAGTTGATCTACTAGTGTCATGTTCAGTGTAGAGATATGTTGATGTGCACTCACCAATAACTCAAATTGACACATATTTTGTGATTATACATGCATATATATAGGTGCCTCAATTAGAGTATCCGGTCACAATGAGCTAGGTGTGTCTGTTGTAATAGATTTTAAATGTCTAATGGGAGTTAAGAAAGCAAATATCGGTAACAATTTAAACTTAAAATAAAATAACACCGAAAGTCTCAAGCCTCGGTAACTAAGACTATTAATGCAGGTTTGATGGTGCTTGATTTATCGAACAATGAAAGATAGTCTAAAATAGATGAGAATGATCAAATAAAAAAGAAAAAGAGGAATGAACGATATAAAATCATGTCTAAAAGAGCATGCAAAACGTTAATTATATGAGGCGTTATAAAGATATCATAACATTCGCTAAGATGACTAGTGAAATTGAGCTACTAACTAAAGAGATAACAAACATTGGTGATGATATCATAGTTGTGTTACAACAAATTTAAGAACTTGGGATCTAACTCTTAGGCGAGAGATTTCTCACCGCTTGATCTACAAGGATTTGACATATCTTAAATGTAAGTTGTATATATAAAGTCGTGTATACATAATCAGATAATGAATAATATAGAAAATAAACTAATTTTTCTCCACAATCTCTCTTTCTCTTTTTATTCTATGCTTTTATTTTTTCTCTGTTCTTATTTCAGATTTGTTATCTGTCGGAAATGTCCGTAGCTAAAACAATATTTTTATTTTGTATTTCTTTTACTTTTAGCATTTATTTTTAGTTTTTATTTTAGCTTATATATATTTAAACTCAATGTGAATTGACGAGTGTGCTTCTTTTGGGTGAGTTCGAAAAACAATTGATTTGAATTTAGTATTAAAATAAATTTCATGTAATGTTTTGCGATAAAAAATTTTATTTCTTTAAAAAAAAATATAAAATCTAAATAGTAAAAGTTGAAAAAAAAATTGACAAAAAAAACGACAAACACACCTTACCTTAATTAAAAATATATTGCTTTCCATATCAAATTCAAGGAGAATCATAGAAAACAGTTGAGTGTGTGATTATAGTCTTGTAGTAGTGGTAATATATAATAATTAATTACACAAAATAGGGGCAGTTTAAAAAAAAATTAAAATTAAAATTAAAATTTAAAAAAAAAAAAAAAAAAAAAGAAAAAAAAAAAGAAAAAGAGAGAGATCAACGGAGATCCTTCCATAATGGCGTAGTCCATACGAATAGGTCCATAAATTAATTGAATGTGAGTGATGACTATTATTTAAATTTATATTTATAATTGTGACACCATTAATTAAAGTTGTCATTATTTATGGAGCGAATTAAAGTCGCATGCAATTATTTATTCTCAATTATTGAAATCGCTAATCAAAGTTTGTTTGGATCTGTTTGTTTGTTTGTTCCCAAATCGCATGCTGACTGATTCTGCGTAATCTCAGGATTTGATTGATTAGCTAGGGGGATTAAATAAATTATAATACTTTATAATTATTTGTTGGGGTTAGTGTATTGAGTAACTGTTAGAAAACTGTATTTAATTGAAAATTATCATACACACTTAATAATAATATGAAGGCAAAGTTGTTTTTTTTTTTTAATTATTATTATTATTATTATTATTTTAGAACTATAATTGGATATTATATTGTATTTATCTCACAATTTTAAAAAAAAAAATCGCAAAAATAGTCCTGAGACGCTGGCGTTGTTGACATGGCAGCATTGTGGCATTTCAAATATTGTATGAATGATACATAAAAAGTACCTGAGAATCATTTTAGAACAATAACTAGACTCTTATATGGAATTAGTATCATAACTAAAAACCTCTAACATAAATAATCCTCAAACGTTGTCTACTTATTATTTACATAATTTTCGGCGTATCACAATATTGTCACGTCAGCAACTCCGACGTCTGAGTATTATTTCTACTATTTTTATTATTATTATTGTGTGACTAATTCAATACAAAATTTAAGTACAATTTTAAAATAATAAAGATAAATAATTTACCAATAATTGTTTGATTGTAAAAGTGAGAATATGAATAACTTTATGTTAAAGCAGCTACCTCTAGTATATGTGTGTTTCACATAGATAAAATGTATAATGCTTTTATATTCTTTCAAAGTGAAGTACTTACACCTATAAAAAGCCGAAGGATGGGGCGCCTTCTACATTAGATTTAAAATAATGACAATAATAAGGAAAACAATAATTTTTGTTATATTGTACTTTTGATGTCTAGTTCGAATGTATTTTATTTTTTATTTTAGTAAATTTAAAAATAATACTCCCTTAGTTTCATGAATCGTGTCCGGGTTACTGCAATTTCAACAAGAGACAAAAAAGTTCTAACAAAAGATGAGATCGACTATTGACAAATTACAAGGTTAGATCAATCAAGTGTCAGAGGAGCTAAGACAATTACGTGAAAGAGGAAAGTGGCCCGCTCAGCCTAAAGCTGGCAAAAATTAACCCGACACGAAATAATTGGGTTTGAGTCAAGAGTTTCGACCAAATTATGTATGCGGGTCAACACGAACCCGACACGATAATAAACGGATCGGATTAGGTTGAAACTTTCAACTCAAAATTGACCCGACAACCCGTTTATCATATATTAATATTAATTAATATATTTATTATATATAAAAAATATTATTAATTTAATAAACTTTTTTTTAAAAAAAATACATTTAAACTAAATTGAGCTCAATAAAAAAGACCAATTCAAAAGTCCAATTCCAAATGTATTAATATAATATAATTAATAATTTTTACCTTTTCTTTTAAAGCAAACACATCAGAACACATCGCACCACATGTTTTTTACTCAATCAAATCCAAAATTCATTTCCTTCATTTGTGCTCAGTAAACTCGCGTCTCCAACCGAGCTTCGAAGAAAAGAAAGAAACCCTAATCGACTTCACTCTTAGGTCTCGCCTTTGTTGCACCGTTGTCACAACGCCCACCTCCGTTGCGCAGCCGCGCGAACTCGGCCTCAGGTGCAAGTTTGCTCGCCTAGTTTATTATCTGTAAGTATGTCGCCCATTCTTGCCTATATTGTTTTTTTTAAGTATAAATTAGTTCTTTTTTATTTTTTCTAGTATTTTTAATTTTTATTCATATTCTACTTCAGGTTTTATTTTTATTTTATTTTATTTTTAATATTCCAGTATATAATGGAAGAACACATAATATCTGGCGAATCCCCTATTAAGCCACTTGAATCAAGTGAGGAGGTTAAGGAAGTCAATAGTAATCAAGCAGCACAAGTTGCACTCAAACAAAAACAGAAAGTTAAGCGACAGACAACACAAACTACATTAAAAATATATAAACCCACTGGATTAAGTAATCCCGTCAAACGCCAAAGGAAATGTACTTCTATTGTATGAGATTTTTTTGATATTGTTGATAAAGCTGATGATCAAGGGCATATGATGGCTAAATGCAAAAAATATGTTGCTGAAAGTACCCATGGAACCGGTAATCTGCTTAGGCATCTAAAGATTTGTAAAAAATCTTTTGTTAGAGATATTGGGCAATTACTCTTGAAATCTAATGCTTCAAGTTCAGTAGATTCTGAAGGGTTTAAGTTTCAACCTGAGGTCTTCCGTGAATTACTTGCGATAGCTATTGCTAGGCACAATCTCCCTCTTCAATTTGTTGAGTACGAAGGTGTTCGAAATTGTTTCACTTATTTGTGCCCTGAAGCTAAGATCATTTCAAGAAATACCATAAAACCTGACATACTAAAGATGTATGCAAAATAAAAATCAAAACTTTCTGATGTGTTGCAACAAGCTCCTGGTAGAATAGCACTTACTTCTGATTGTTGGACTTCTATTACTACTGATGGCTACATTTTATTAACTGATCACTTTGTTGATGTTGATTGGTGTTTGAGAAAAAAGATCTTGATTTTAACTTTTATGCCTCCTTCCCATACCGGTGTTGATTTAGCTGAAAAGGTATGCAATCTATTGAAAGAATGACGCATTAAAAAGAAAATTGTGTCTATTACCTTGGACAATGCTTCTTATAATGATTCTTTAGTGGATGGGTTAAAGTTTGATTTGGATTTATTATCTGATGGTGAGCATTTCTATGTTCGTTGTTGTGCACACATATTAAATTTGATTGTACATGATGGATTGAAATATGTAGATGAAGCTGTTGTTAAAGTAAGGAAAAATGTCAAATATTGCAAAGGATGTCAAGGTAGAAAACAAAGATTTTTTCATTGTGTGCAATATGTTGCACTTGAATATATTAAAGGTCTAAGGCAAGATGTTCCTACACGTTGGAACTCCACTTATCAGATGTTAAATAGTGTGTTGTATTACAGGAAAACCTTTATACATTTGCAAAAGACTGATGCAAATTTTGTTCATTGTCCAAGTGTTGATGAATGGATGAGGATTGAAAAAATTTGCAAGTTCTTAAAAGTTTTTCATGAAGTTACCTGTGTCTTTTCGGGTTCTAACTATCCAACAGTTAACTTATACTTTCCAAACATAGTACCAGAACTGGCTGAGGCTTGGCATTAGAAGACGATAAAGTCAATGGAAGGAAGGAAGGTGAGACTACTTTTGAATAAGGAGATGAAAAGTAAAGATACATTTATGAAGAATATGTCCGTGAAAATGTTTGGAAAGTTTGAGAAGTATTGAGCTCAGTTTAGTACTATTATGGGCATTGCTGTTATTTTTGATCCTCGGTATAAATATCAAGTTATTGATTGGGCATTTAAGAAGATTTTTGAGGTGGATTATGACATTAAGTTGGAGTTGTTCAAGGATAAACTTTTCAGATTGTTCAATGAATATTCATCTTCAACTAGTGATATTCAAAATGCTCATGGGTCTTATTCTCGTATGTCGGATGAACAAGTTGTTGATGATGGTTTTATGAAGGTAATTCTATTATTTATTTTTATACTTATCTATTTCAAATTTATATTATAGCTCATATTTATAAAATATATTTTTAATTTTTGTTGCATGCAGGATTTTGATTCTTTTTATAGCGAGGAATTCACTTGTTGTGGTAAATCAGAGCTGGAAAAATATTTGGAAGAGCCAAGATTAGCCCACACAAGTGACATAAATGTTCTGGAATATTGGAAAACTTGTCAAATGACTTATCCAATCCTAGCTCGGATGGCTAGAGACATTTTGGCTATCCCAATCTCCACTGTGGCTTCGGAATCAACTTTTAGTATTGGTGGGAGGGTACTTTATGCCTATAGAAGTTCATTAAACCCATCTACAGTGGAATCACTGACTTGTCTTACGGATTGGCTATTTGAACAAGGTAACTATTATAGATATAATTTATATAATTAAGTAATTTTGTATTCATTTTTATTGATATATTAACATTTATTAATTGTTAGATAACATCATTTGAACCTGATATGGAAGAATTGTGTGGAGAAGTGGAAAATTCTATTGATGATGATGATGTCTTAGATATTTCGGATGATAGAAGCAAAGTTTCTAAAAATTAGCATTCAAGGTTAGTGAGTTAAGTATATTCATTCTTCTAATTTGTATCTTGTATTGATTATTGTTAGTCATAATTCAATAAAATATTGTTACTTTCAATCATCGTTAATATATATTTCTTATCTTGCATTACAGGAGATTGGCATGCTTTGGGAAGAATTTAAGTTGGTGTTTCCACGATTACACATGTGATGTGGTTCTATTGTTTGAATTGAATTTTAGTAGCAATTTTGCATTGTCATTGGTGTTTTGTTGAATTATGGCGTAATATTTATGTTTTAATATTTATTGAATTGTGGAGCATTTGTCATTGTTTGAGTTTGACATACTTTGGGAAGAATTTCAATTGGTATTTCCACAGATTAGACATATGCTGTGGATTTTATTGTCTGAATTGAACTTCAGTATCAATTTTGCATTGTTGTTGGTGTTCTGTTGAATTATTGCATAATATTTATGTTTTTAATGTTTATTGAATTTTGGAGCATGTGTATGTTTATTGAATTGTGGAACATTTGTCGTTGTTCATTTATATCTTATTCAATTATCTTTAATTATTATTTAATTTGTGTAATTTTAATTTTAGAATTTTTTTAATAGGTAAACATTTAGATTTTGTGTTAAATGGGTTAACAGGTCATTTTCGGGTCGGGTCGAGTCACCTGACCCATTTAAAAAATTATTAAACGGGTTAGTAGGTCATTTCAGATCATGTCGGGTTTTACGGAATCGGGTTCGTGTCATGTGGTCTGACCTGTTTACATAAGCGGGTCGATTTCGGGTTGGCCTAATCAACCCGTTTAACAAATCAACCCGACCCATTGCCACCTCTAGCTCAGCCTGAGCCAAATCCAGCAAATGTCAGCGCCATCACTATTTGCAGTGATACAATGATTGAATGTTCCTCCCGGCCTAATCCAAAGAATACGAGTGTTATAACCCTTCGTAGCAGAAAGGAATTGGAAGGTCAACATCCTATCTCAAAGGAACATAATGAGGATCATATTGAGATGGAGATTGAAAAAGAAGTTGAACTTTACGAAAAGGTACCTTCTAACTCTGTTCCTCCTATTGAAGCTAAATCAGCTCATTTTCCTGACAGGTTAAAGAAACTACAAAAGACAAACAAACAAAAAGAGATTATGGAAATATTTAAAAAGGTGGAATTTAATATCCCGCTCTTGGAGGCTATCAACCAAATCCCCAAGTACGCGAAGTTTTTCAAAGAACTGTGCACCAACAAAGGAAAATTGTGAGGGGACGAGTATATTATAGCGTGTGAGAATGTTTCTGCTGTTCTCAAAAGAAAGGTACTACCGAAAACATGTGATCCAGGTATGTTTTCTATCCCTTGTAAGATTGGAAAAATTGAGATAACTAAGGCTATGCTAGATATAGGAGCTGCTATTAATGTCATGCCTCGATTAATATACGACTCTTTAACTCTAGGGCTTCTAAAAGAAACATGAATTATTATTCGACTTGCTGATCGAACCAATGCTTATCCTGATGGTATGATAAAATATGTACTAGTTCAAGTGAATAAATGAATTTTTTCCTGTTGATTTTTATATTCTGGATATACATGATGCATACTGCTTTAATCAACCGCCTCTTTTATTAGGAAGACCTTTTATGTGCACTGCAGAAAAAAAATAGATGTTAAAAGGGGCACACTCAGCTTGGAGTTTGATGGAGAAGAATTTCATTTCAATATTTTTAATCTAATCAAATGTCCTGTTGAATCTGAATCGTGCAATTAATGTTATTAATTATGTGGTGCAAGAAACTTATGAAGTTAGTAATGAGAATAAACGAAGAACTGTGTTGACAAAACAGTTAGAGAAAAGACCAACTGGAGAGAGTAAGAGAAGAAAAAAGATTGTTGAAAAGTTGAGATGGATTCCCAAGGGATTACCATTGTTGGCAACAAAAAAGTGTCATAAGGAGAATCAAAATTTTAAGCCGAAAAAAAGTGTGTGGCCAATAGACATTGCTTCAAATCATACCACGGGGGACCCTCACTTGATCCTATAAAGTTGGCACCCGTTTCCAATTTTAATGTTCAGAATTGATGCGAGACGAAGTCTAGCTCAAAGACTATAAAGAAAAGCGCTTTTTGGAAGACAACCCAAACCATTTAATTGCTTTATTTAATTTTAATTTTTTTTTTGTTTAATTGCTAATAATACTTTTGATGGTTTTGTTTGATTTGGTGTAGATTTTTTGAAAAATAATTGCTACTTTTTTGCGAAGGCGCGATCGACTTTTCCCAAAAAAAAAAAAAATAATAATAATAATATCAAGAGGTGACTTTTAGTCATGGTCATGACTAATTGACACCTCACATTCTGATTTTTTTTTACCCAATATTTCTAGACCTATCCAATTTCCAGAATGATAGATAGTATTTAATCATGACCATAACTAATACTCCCCTATCACTAGAGCTGTTAAACGAACTGAACCGTTCGTGAACACGGTTTGGTTCGGCTCGGTTAAAGCTTGTTGGCGAATGTTAACGAGCCGAACCGAACAACATAAATAGGCTCGTTTACTTAACGAACGAGCCCGAACCATGTTCGCAAACGTTTGTTAAAATAAGGAAAAATTGATTGTCAGAGCTTATTGATCACTATAACCAATTTATTGATACTTTAATTAGAACTAACTTTATTGAATCAATGATAAGACATAAGTGCCATAATTGCATCATCCATTGAGCCAGACATTCCCTTGATAGCTAGTTCTCCGTTAATTTAATTGTTTTGTTATTTTGTCTTCATTAAATAATAAAAGAAAATTCCCCCCATTTTTTTACTGCATTAGAACACGAAAGAATAAATCACGCAATCCATGTGGAGACGATCTATTCTCCTGTATTACATTAAATTGTGATCACGGAATATGTGAAATATTTGATTGACCGCGCAACAGGTCAAACCCGTAACCTCACGGTCATAAGTCTACCCCCACACCACCAGGTCATCACTTACGGGACAAGAATGAAATGAAAGACCTTTATATAGGCACCTCCACTAAGTAAATATGACAAGGGACATGATTAACAGCATAATGACGACCTTAATTGGAGCATAGTTAACGTCTTTAATTACTGACATAATTGATGGTTGTAATTAAAGTTAATCTCAAACATTTTTTTTGAGATTAAACGGATATATTCACCGGACAATATTTTATCTAGATAATCTTACGACTTGGACCATATGCTTGTGTTTAACTTTGGGCTTCACAATTAGGTTCATCTTGGACTTGTTTCGAGACAAACAAAATTAGCCAAGCATTTACCAAGCACATGGCTAGTAGATATAATATATATTTAATCTAAATTAATTCAATTAATTTGGTTTATCGTAGTTTTACTAACCGATTAGTCAATTTCAAATTTTCAAAATTTAATTTTACAAAATTAAATCTTATAGATTGAATAATTAACTCATTATCCAAAAATTCCCCGCATAAGTGAAAATGTTCATAATTAGGACAAGATACAACTCACCACTCCCGTGACCGTGTTTCGGGCTGTAGCTTTACAGTCCACAATTCCACACTTGATTTTTTTTGCTGAAAGACTAGCTGAAGCTATAGCTTAAATGATAGGTTGTGGGTGCCTGCGCCACGAATACAAAGGGCGGAAATAAGGGAAGGGAATAGGCAGACGGGGATCAAACCCCCGAACTAAAGGTCAAGGGGTTAAAGGCTTCACCAATTGGACTACATCCTCATTCCCTACTTACAATTGTCTTTTTTTTTTTTTTTTTTTTATCGGAACTTACAATTGTCTTTTCTTTTTTTTTTTTTTATCGGAACTTACAATTGTCTTTTTTTTTATCGGAACTTACACTTCTCTTTTCATATTATATGGTATGTAGGTTTAGGCTTTGCAAACGAGTCAACTTGTTGGGATAAGACGCAAGACGGGTCAATTATTTGAGTTCAGTCACTTTCACATTCTTTGTCATCTGTCCTTTTTAGATACAATTTCCTCTTCTCCTTCCGGTTATCATTGGCACCTTCTGATAGGACATGTGTGTACAAACAAACTCCGTTCTCTCGTCAATAAAATTGTTTTAGGTCCTATGCGTCTTGAATTTTTTTATTGTACGCACTGCAAACTTGAAAAATAATCTACTATTTCATTTTCTCAAAATGCTTTAGTTGTTGATAAACCTTTTTCTTCGGTACATTTGGATATTTTGGGCCCTTCACCGATAAGATTTATGAATGGGTATAAATATTGTGTGATTTTTGTTGATAAAGTTTTTATTTTTACCTAAGTTTACTTTACGAAACAATGCTCTGAAATTGTATCAATTTATATCATATTCGCCAAAATAATACACACTCAGTTTTCTTGTACTAACCAATTTTTATAGACTAATAATGCCCTTGAGTATAATGACGATGTGTTTATCGGCTTTCTTTTTGCTCAGGGTACTTTAATTCAATGGTCTTGCCCATACACAATACCCTAACAAAATAGTTGGATGGAGTGTAAATATCGTTATATCCTTGATACAATTTGCGCGCTCCTTTTATCTGCCTTTTTTCCTAATTGCTTATGGAAAGAAGCCGCTCTTCCACGTATTTTGGATTAGCACCGTATATAATAATAATAATAATTAAATAAATACAAAATAAATATATTTAATTTATTGAATCATATAAATTAAATTATTACATCATTTAAAGGTTGTATAACTTTTATTTATTTGCTACACACCAATATATATAGCCCATATATAAATTGAAAAACAAAACCAGACAATATATTAATAATCTAATATATTAAATTAAATCCGCTGCAAAACAGCGAATAATTGAACACCAATCTCATGTCCGACGTCGTACAACATGTCCGAAAACCTTTGCTTGTGCTGGAGAGCCTTCGCAAAGAGGGGTTCGACGATTTCACGGCCCATGTGGCTAGCGACGGTTGCCTCTGTGAATGCTCGAAGGTGCATTATTGCGCTCCCTATGTCGACGGGAGCCTCCTTGTTCGGCCTCGCATTTCGCAGCTCCATTTTCACTATTCGGAAACTCCCATTATCCTCCACAAATCTTCTCATTTGCGTCATACTTGGATATACATGAGGAATGTTGAATGAGTCCACTTGATATTGCTTCAACATTCCCTATCCATAACAAAATAATAAAACAAAATGAAATAAATACCTATTCATTGATATATGCGGCGGTTAAGATATTATTCGGGTCAAATCAGACTGACTCAATTAAAATATATTTCCTTCGTTCCGACTACGGTATCCTATTTACTGTTGACACGGAAATTTAAAAGGGGTATAATTAGTAAATAATTAAAAATATATTAGGGAAAATAATTATCTTATAATAAAAATAACTTTAGATTAAGATTAAAAAAACTAATTAGTTTAATTAAAATTAAAAAAATTAAAAAGAGATTAGAGCCTATAATTCTTTTTCAAATAAAGAAAGTGACAAAATAAGTTGGATAGAAGAAAATGAAAAAATTGACACATAAGTGCGGATAGAGGCGGCAGACAATTTATGATTTTATATAGGACAACCTAACGTTGTATTAAAGCATGTGCTATGCTGTTTATATATTGCAGTACTGTACCATATAAATATACTTATTATGTTAAAATCAATAATATATAATAATATTATTGTACCATGTTGAATTATATAATATAGTGTTAAAAATATATCTTGTATATTATATTATTATATGATGTCAAAGTTAATATATATTTACTTATTGGATTTAATCAACATGAATTGATTAATATATAGACATGTATGCATTTACTAATAAGAAATGCTGTATTTATATATATATATATATATATTTAAGTTTTGACAATATTTATTCATAATAAATTTTTAAAATATTATTGTAAATATTTATATTTTCTTGCAAAAAATTGTATTTAATATTTAACCTTTTTCTATGTTTATTAAAAATTTTAGAATTTTAAAACTAAGAGAAATTTATCTAAATGAAAGCCGAAATTTTTTATATACACACGCTGAAATTTGATTAATTTTCATAGTTGTTTATAAAAGTATTGAAGTCAACTAAGAAGCATTTTGTTTTTTTTTTTTTTTTTTTTTTTTTTTTTTTTTGTGGCGGTTCAAATTTGATTAATATATTTATTATTTTTCTTTGACTTTTATAAGTCGACAAAGTTTGAATCGATATATTAGTCAAAGCAACAACCACTTTTCGTCATAATATATTTAAAAAATTAAATCATATATTTATAAAAATCTAATTACATTATATACCTATTTTATACTATTAAATAAATACAGATATTATGTACTATTTATTTTGTAAAATGTTATTTTTAAGAAACAAAAATTTTACACTAACCTAATACGTACATATGTTGTAAAATTAAACAAATTCAACAATATATATATATATATATATGTAGAATTCAAACTGACAAATTTTTGTTCACTACCAAATCAAATATATATTAATAATAGACATTGATCAACTGCTGGTTCGGTCAAATCAGCATGACGTTGATTTGATTGGATCAGTATATGTGATATAAGTGAATAACATATATTTATACATATTTCAACGTATTTATCATACAACATATATTATATTATAATACAACATATGGTATTTTATAATACAACATATATTATATTATGTATAAATATATGCTGATCACACACGCAAGACATATAATGATTCGGTCAAATCAGTACCATAATTACTTAACCGGATTAGCACAAAATCTACCGCCTTTATAATAAAAATAGACAATATATGTTATATATGATATACTATGTTATAATAGCACATATATTGTATTATATAGAACCATATATTGTCGATCAAATCAACACAAATTCACGTATTAGATATATAGATAGTTTAATTAACAGAACTTGTTACCTCTCTAACCATGTCCATAAGGATGGATCCGAGGAAGTCAATAGCTATACCAACATCATGTTTTAGTACGCCGTCGCGCACACCTGGCATCACCACGACAATCACCCCTCCCGGCACCATCTCCTTTGCTCGTGCCCTCAAGAACGCATCCATGTCCTTTTCATATTGCTTAGCATATGCTTTTACAACTGGCTCGGGGGCATTCGTGTAGTGAATCCTACCCTTATTCCAAGCAGGAGAATTTTCATCTTCCAACTCCTCAGGCACCCTCGACAACCAATGAAGTGAAGATGCAGAGTATGCGATGTGGACGGAGGAAGAAGGGAACAATCTATCGTAGAAAGAACCGGGAAATCCGGCTGCAAAGTAGTTTTTATCGCCAGGCATGGAAGCGAAGAGCGTGTTGAAGTCATTGGTGGTTTGGTCATTATAGAATACTTGGAATTCAATATTTTTCGGGTCAACCCCTTGTAAGTGGCACTTTGTGGTGACTATGTCGATTATCGCTTGCATGGCGATGTGTGTGTTAGGTCCAACGGAGCATCCTAAGTCGGCAATGGTGACTAAGTTTGTCGATCCATTTGATAAAAGTGTCGGCATGTCTAAGAATTCTATGAGCGCCTCAGACATGGCTTGTTTTGCGGCAGTCACAGCATCTCTCTACATAACGGGCAACAAAATTTATCATTTTAGTTTAAATTTTAATTTTGATTTAAATAGTATTTCAATATAATAAGTTACGACAAAAATATGATATTATTATTAGGAAAAATGTATGATTAAATAGTGGTGATAAACCAAACACACTCCATGTATGTATGACCATTTTTAATAAATTAAAGAAAAAATAATTTTCTTAGTTTGGCTTTTCGAAGCTATTCTCACAACATATACATTTTTCAAGATTATCAATTTTAACGGATTTACTGTTTAATCACCAAATTATTTTATTTTCCCCAAATAAATAGCTTCGTTGTCGCATTCACAAAATATTTCAAATAAAATATGCTTTCCAAATCCAAACCCTATCTAAACAAACTACATACATATATGAAGCTATTCAGCAAAAATGAAATTAGTATTTGTATTGGAATAAAAATGTGTTTATAATATGGTATCTGAAAAACACATTGTATGTTTGACAGGACACAGTATTATTAAAGATAACACATTGTATATGTTAATATAATACAAATACGAACACATGAACTAATAATATATGTTATTGTCGCATATAATATACACAACAGTTAATTTTAGCACATGACATACTCTCATACAACACGCATGTAATTATGAACAAACAACGCATATCTTTATTATACACAAGATATGCTATGTGCAATCAAAACATGTGTTGTTTGTATATATTTAAATCAGCACGACGCTAAATTTTTCAAATCAGCACCGTAATCACTCCCGCGTGTCTTAGTATAGGTAGGATTTGGTTTGATTCATAAATGAAGTTAATATAATTAATTAAGGATGTAAATGAAATGAAATGAAATGAAATTAAACCTGAATAGTGGAGTTGTTGGCATAGCTGTTGGCGCCGGCGCCGCCGACCATCGCCGATGACTGTGCCATCGGAAAATAAATTAATTAAAGATTAATGGATGGATGGATCTGTAATATATGTATATGTTCTCTTTGCTTAAAAAGACAAGTATGGTTTACTTATTTATAGGAACCGCTCCCTCATTCATGTCACAACGTACGTACACAAGGGGCAATAATATTTAATATTAATATTCTTTAATTGGACAGTCAATCGCCGCCTGTCCTAATAATTAATTCTACGAAGTCTGCGGCTGGATAATGTCCTGAGGATTGACTTTACACCCAGCAGCCTATACGCGGGGTAGAAATTAAGTTACGGAGTTGAGTCATCAAGGGTGTGTTTGTTTGCGGTTTTGCGTTTTTTGGTTTAAATTTTTTAATAATAAAAAATTAAATTTAAATAATTATATCAAAAAAATTAAATTTAAATTATTATTTAATTTGATGTATTATGAATATAAGTTGATTTAATATTTTTAATATAAAATAAATTTATACTGTAGAATATATCAAAAAAAATAATAATAATTACTTGAAAGTGGAAGTAGTCAAATCAACATTCTGATAAAAGTTCATTTTTAAATAGAGGATTATTTAGTGATAATATAATACTCCGGTTTTATAAATCCAAATTAATATTGTGAGTTCTTTTATAATATATTAAAAAATAATATTCTCTCTGTCCAAAAATATAGTTTTATTGTGTTAGATATGAGATTTAAGAAATATTAATGTTATATTGGTAATTGGTAAAAAATAAAAATAAATAATTTTTCCGTCCTTGTGAGTATACTAGTATAAAAAGTAGTGATAATTGTGTAATAATAATGAAAAAATATGAATAGTTTTATGGTGATATAGTTGTTTATGGAAATGAAACTATTATTTTGAAACGAACAAAAATGGTAAACAAAACTATTATATTGGATTAGCTAGTATACTATGATTATAATATTTTTTGTTATTTATTTAATATATAAATAAATTGTATGTGTAATAATATATTTATAATTTATATAAAAATTAAAAGAATATTTTAGTATTAATATACTATATTTTTTACTATAACAAAAAAGTGATAATTTAGAGTGAGATAATAAAAATAATAAAAATGATACATTTAGTTGGAACAATAAAATATTAATTTACTTGTGGTTTGAAATTAACTTGAATTTATATTTAAATAATAATTTGATATGATATTTAATGAGATAAAATATTACTCCCTCCGTCCATACATAAAGAAAATATTTATTTTTGGCGCGGTGTTTAAAAAATAATAATATTTTAATTATATTGGGTAGTTAAAAGTAGTAAAATGATTTTTTTTTCCTTAATTTTTGTGTAAAAGTAATGATGTGATGTAAAGTAAAGAGTATTTGTGAAAAAAGTGAGCTATTTAATGAAATATTTACTTTGTAATTGGATGCCCAAAAATAAAAATATGTATACTTTCTAACTTGATGGAATGAGTATATTTTTATTAAAAATAATGTAAAATATATAATTTTAATTTTTAAATTTAAAATCACAATCAAACATACTATTTTGTTAATCCTCAATGTATTTTTTCTTTTATTAGTTAATATGTAAGGGGAAAAACTCTTCAATGTATTTTTTCTATTATTTCTCAGTCACATTTAATTTGTCAATTCTTTTTATTTTTGTTTGTTCCACGTAATGTGTTTTTTTTAAATATAATTATAAACTTTAGTTACATTTAAAAATTCATAAATTATATTTTTTTATTTTAATTAAACTATTTAGTTATTTTAATTTTAATCTATAATTTTTTTATTAAATCATAATTATTTTTACTAATATATTTTTTAATTACTTACTAATTATTCAATACCTAAAACTCCATACCTAACATAAAGTGGACAATTTAAATAGAACGAGAGAGTATTTAATATATAAGGGAAAAAAATATACTATTGAAATTATTTATTTATACAATGCATTATATTAATAAATCATTTCAGCTAAAATTTATTCAAATTTCTAGTGAGTACTGGGTAAATCCCGGTCGAACTTAATATTCTGCAAATTAGGCCCGACATACAAGACACATTAGGCAAACCATGTGTGACAGTTAACCTGAAGTGTTGGGGGTTTGAACCCATGACCTCACGGTCACATGCCCAACCCCTACACCGAGTCATCTCTTAGTTGACGAGAAATTTGGATTATTTTGGTGGTGCTGGACGTGTATGGAGCTTCGTGTTAGGTAGCTCAATTTTAGGGAGAAACAATAGTAAATTGATAAAGCAAAATAAGCAAATAGTTGGGATTATAGTGTTATGCGATCTTTTCTGACCTACTTTAAATAGAGATTCATTATTTATTTATGTTATATATAATATTTATATATATAAATTATTTTATTATAATTTATTAATACCTTCGAGATTAAAAAAAAAATGTTAGAAATTTTATATATTTTATTTAATTATTTATATTTTACTATAGATAAAAATATATATATATTATTTATATATATTTAGGGGCTCTAATTTTTGTTTTAAGATTGTTTAGACAAAATTAATACTTCATTCGTCATATTGAAATGTTGTTATTTTTCATTTTCGTCCGTCCCAAAACAAAGTTACCATTTCCTAATTTAGTAATTGTACTATCTACCTAACATAATAAATACCCTTACAACTTACACTATATTACACAAATACCATCACTTTTATATTACACCATACTAATAGGGGTATTTTCATCTTTTTCACTAAAATCCATTATAATACTAATATTAAAAAATTTACGTATAAAAAGCAAACACCACTTGTTCCGGGACGGGGGGAGTATTAATATTATTATTGATATTTTATCTAATAATGCTAGAAAAATTATTTTATTTAATTTTTTATATTTTTTATAGGTAAAAAAATGAAGTATATCATTTATATATTTTTTTAGGGGTCTTTTATTTTTTCTTAATATATTTTCTTTTTTTTTGTATTAAAAAGAAAATAAGTATTAGATAAAATTATAATAATTATTAGGCAAAATTGCCTATAACTATCCCTATGGTTTCGAAACTCAATGTTTGTTAAAGTATAAGGGGCATCACGCAATTTTTAAACTATATAGGAAAATTATAGTAAATTTCGAAACTACATGTGAGTTACGGACAATTTTGCCTTATTATTATTATTGATATTTTTTGCATAAAAAATACTAGAAAAAATATTTTTTCATTATATATTTTTTATTATAGATAAAAAATATTATATATATATATATATATTTAAGAGCACCTAATTTTTATTTCGCCGCCCTGAATCCTTCAAAAGTCTAAGACTAGCCATGTTCCAAGCTTTCCTCTTTTGTATCCCTTAGAGCAGTAGCAATGGTCTTAATTTGGAAGACTTGGATGGGCCGCTCGACGTGGGCCTGTCAGAAAATCGAAATCTATCCAACACAATGACAGTGTTTTCAACCTTATGATCTCGATGTCGCGTCGTGGTGACCTTGGTGCAGGCGAAGGCCCGTTGAGGAGGAGGATCTTCTTTCATTTTTCATCCATCTTTCTCTTCTTCTCTATGCAGCACTTTTTCTTGTTCTACTCTCCCGAATTCTGCTTCTTTTCCCTCCTTCTCATAGACGCGAAAATCACTATTTTTCCCACTTTTTAGAAAATAATCGCCAAATCGGTTCGGGATAGCTACCCCGGAACAGATCTCCACCATTGAAGGGTTTATTCCAAGAGGGTTCAACACAGATAAGAAATTCGGAATAAATTGCGATGCTATAGTTCCCATAGTATTTTCAGCGTGTGGTGCAGACGGTTTTATTTAAGATAAGGAAACTGGGAAGAAACTTGACTCCTTGATTTGGGACTGTGTCGATTTCTTTAACAGAAAAATGAGATTGTTGAATAGACCGGAGAAATCACCTACCGAAGAGGCGGAAATACCAAGTCACTCACCGAAAATTCAGACGCGTGGTCGATCCAAGGCCACCGTCTCCGACGCTGACGACGTGCAAGGTGCCCTAGAACCTGCAGTAGAAATTTTGGAGCGGAGGAAGGTGGAATTAAATTAAATTTTATTAATTAAAATAAGCCTTACTCAATGGGCCTGTAAAAAGGCCATTGTGGGTTCATCTCACTTCCATCTATCCCGTGAGCTTGCAATGTCACCGTCACCCTTGACACGTAAGTCTGTCGAAGCCAAAATTAAAAAAGGTCATTGCAATCGCTCTTAGTTCGCTTTTTCATCCAATGCTAATCGGAAGTTGTTTTCATGATCCAAAACATAATTCTTTTAACTTTCTTGCAACCACAAGTGTATAACTATTGACCAAAATTCATTTCCTTCATTTTTTTGTCTCATTTACCCTACACCGTGAATGAATAAAATTTGACCAAAATCTTGAATGAAATTATTTTGTGGGTTTGATTTTGGCTTCTTGGATTTGATTTGGCCGAGCTCTTTAGCCCAGATGTGACAGACTATTTGGGCTTTTTAGAGTAGATTTGGGCTTATCTCTAAGTTGGATACGTGGTTTTCTGAAGCTGTTGGATCAATGAAAAATTATTATATTTTTCCTAATAATGAATATCTATCATAAAAAGTATTTGAGCAAAAAATTTGCATGAAATGACGAACTTTTTTAAGCCCATTATGTTTGTATAAAATTTTGGCGGTACCTGCGTTCTAGCTTCACGCGGCACTCCTACTTCGGCAGCTTTTTTTTTTCCAAATTCTGTAAGAAATTGATCCGAATCGTCGTAGCATCACGTTTGTCTCCAAAGAAGGACGGCGATTGAGCTTAAAGTGTTTCAAATTTCTTGATAAAAATTCAACCGGATTGACCTCAAATGATTCACAGTCATTTTTGTACTGTAAAACTTGTTCCGAATCCCCGTCACTTGTTATTACGTCGAAACTGGCCACAAAGGTCCCATCACCATCAACGACCTCGATGATGGGTTTGTCCTCAGATCAAGCACATCCTTGTCGTCCGTAAATATCCGCTTCGGCCTTCATTTATAATGCGTCTCAAATTGGGGTCGTAAATTATTTTTGTCTAATGCAGTATTACTTGGGGTTGCGTGCATATAACTTGTCGAA